TAATATCATTTTAAAAAGTGTAAAAACATTTTATATTAACAGTATATTTTAATTTGTGTGTTCTCACATTATATAAAGTTAAAAACTTGAGTCATTATATTATACTCCTCCGGTCCTAATTATAAGACCCAATTGACTTATTTGAGGAGATTAAGGAAGTAAGTTAAGTTGGTTATTTATAATAAATAAGTGTTGTCATTCCTAAAATATTCTTGCTAATTAAGTATATTGGCTAAAACTATCATTATTAGAAGGATTATCTTGGAAAAAAATGCATAAATATAAGAGACAAAATGGATTGAGTCTTATAATTAGGACCAAATAAAAAGTCAAATTGGGTCTTATAATAAGGACCGGAGGAGTATATACTATCTCCGCTTCTAATTATAAGATATTATTTATAGGAATGGAGCTAGTATTTTGTTAGAGTTTTCATATTATTGATGGTGGCAAAGCATATCACCTTCAAACAACATAAATAAGTACATATAGTCACAGGGGAGACCACTAGACTTCACTACTTATTTAAGCTACTTTTTATTTTTATTTTTGTATGCATTAAAGTGGAAGATTCTTGCCTATGTGCTACGTGCCAACACTACTATTTCCAGTTCATGAACACCAGCAATTTGGATTATTAAAATTGATTAGTTAGGTAAATGCGCTTTGCGTATAAAAGCTTTGGAGTAAGCCAAGTGGTGCCAAATCACTGGATACCCCAAACACTGTTCGGAGCAATTGAGAAATACTAGCTTTTGTTCTTAATATAAGAACTCGTTTGACTTTTTTTTTTAATCATAAATATAAGACCTTAATCTATTTTATTTCTCATATTTGTCTTTTTTTCAAATCCTTGTAATAATAGTAGCTTTAGCCAATATATTTGATTGGTAACGATATTTTAAGAAAGGCAATACCTATTTATTATAAATAACTAACTTAATTACTTTTTTTAATATACTCAAATTAGTCAACCACCTCTTATATTAAGGACCGGAAGTGGTAATTAAGAAAAATGACCTTTAATCATATAAAAAGATAGCTGCTTAAATAAATAAAAATAATACAGGCTTTTTTTTTAAGTAGAAATAATATAGGCTTTTAAGTAACGGAGATGTGAAGTATGAGTTGTGCATTTTTAGCTTTGAGATAGGCATGCTGGTAAAGGAAAAAAAGCTTTGAGATGGCAGCTTGATCAAAGTAATTTGTTGCGCTCAGTCATGTCATTTCAAATCATACTACATATCAGATTAACCTGATGCGCTGTTTTTTTTTTTTTTTGTGCGCATTGATTTTAGTCGATGAATATTTTTAGACTTTAAAGGATGGTTTGAGCCATTCTAAAGTATGGACAGATATAAATATCAATAAATAAGGAAATTACGTGAATGCCTTTATGTGCATATAAAGGGCCAATGAACTCTTAGCCAGCTTACCACGTAAGAATCACCTGAAAGCCACGTATCAACTAGGCTGCAATTTATCAGGATTAATCATTAATAATTGTACTTATTCGGTGAAATATTCACGATAACAATTCTGAAATGGTCAAATTATTGATACTATATTAATATTAAAAAGTGTTCACTAATGCAAAAATACACACCTATGGTTTGGTGGCAAGGGCATGCGGATCTATTAAAATTTCAAAGTATCTGACTTTTGCACAAATGCTCTTTTTTCTTTTTTTGGAGAGCCTACCTTGGACTTGGTTTAGATTTAATTTTGAGACATATTGGACAGAGAATGCTGTTATGAATCAGAAGACATTTGACAGTGTCTGGAATAGCCCATGTCAGATATTTATTTTGGGGGTAACAATATAATAAACAAAACAGATATTATATGAGGGCAATCATGCGTGACCTGCTGGTCGGGAAAAAAAAAAAAATCATGCGTGACCTAATTTAGCTATCATGCACCTATATTTTATAATTAAATCATCATTATTTTGTGATTCAAAAGAGTTTGAGACGGATAAACAAGTTAGGCTAGCTTATATTCAATGGATAGATGACGTGGACTCAACCTAAACATTATTTTATTCAATTTAATTGCATAAAAAAATATTATATAACTGAGGGTGCACCTTCATGGGAGCACATCCCATGCTTATCACATTGTGATTTGAACCATCCAGATCGATTTTAGATGGTTCAGATTAAATTTAAAATTTTTATATATTTTAATTAACTTTTTGTTTTAATAGATACAGAATTTAAAATAATTATAATATCACAACTAATATATCTTTAAAAGATAAATTTATAATTGAAAAAATTGTGTATTAAAAATTTTAAATCTGAACAAGATTTTGAATGGTTTATATTATATTATAATGTTGCTCATCATTGTGATAAGTACTGAATAAAGACCCCACCTTCATGCACTTCACCTTGTATGCGGTTTAAGTGAATCCAAAAACAATTAAAAAGGACCGATAAAGATTTTTTTTTTATCGGGAAAAAGAAAGAAAGGCTTAATAATAAACCCACGTTTGATAAGGGATGATTGTGGGAACTGGATAGCAGGTTTTTCACGAGCCCTTGGTGCGTGCAGCGTTCTTGAATAAGAGGAATGGGCAGTGTATAAAGGCCTCAATCTGGCTTGGGATATGGGGTTTTAGAAAGTAATTCTGGAATCTGATTCAAAAAATGTGGTTGATATGATCGTTGGAAATTGGAACAAGTCATTCTACAGTCTGGTGATCATACGAACATGCTGAAGCTCCAGTGGGACTGGGAGGTGGAAATCGTGCATGTATCTAGACAACAAAACCGTGTGACAGATTCTCTTGCTAAGGATGGGCCATCCACGACCATTTTTTGGACTACATGTCCTTCTCATCTAAGTGTTTGGGATCTAAATCCCCACCTACTTAGTTTTTCTTGTTTCGGGCTTTTGCCCTCTTCTGTAACCAAAAAAAAAAAAAACTACGCTTTCTTTTGAAAGTGAATGTTCTGTGTGTTGAACTTATCTGGGTAAAGCCTCGGCCGACTAATTTGGTTAAGGTAATAGAAAAAATTCATATGAGGGGCAACCTTTCAAGCCAGGAGCTATATTCACAACTTCAGTATTCGAACTCTGGATGTTACTCAAGATATCTAACACATCATCCCACCTTTTATTTTTTTGACCGGGAAACACACCATTCCGCTAGACTAAATAAAAACTTGAAATGTCATTAAGGGTGCGATATGTAATGGAAAATGAGAGGCCCAAAAGAAAGGCAATGGTAGTCATCCGGCTCAATCAGCCATATTTACTGCCAAAAAACTCCTCCTAAGGATTTGGTGCTCACAGTCTCAGGCTCCCCAGAAAAGAAAAAACTTATGAATAAAAAATACCCCCTATCTAGTTTTTAATTTGAGTAGATTAATGATATTAATCAACTTAATTAATATGATATGTTTTTTTCTTCCTAAAACACCTTAAGCATTTTTCTTAATTTCATCAATCTATTTCCTCCCTGATTATTGTTGGAAAAATATCAATGGGTTAATTTAAGGAAAAAATGATAAATGTGTGAAATACATTTTACACATATGATCAACATTAATTCATCAATCAGGCCTTACATTAGAGACGGGAGGAGGAGTATCATTATTTTATATTAAAATGAGTAATAAAAAAATATTACTGAATAGTAAAGGCAAAGATAAGATAAATATTACTACCTTTATCCTTAATATAAGAACTAGTTGGACTTTCAAATTAGTTCTAAATATAGGACCCAAATTTATTTTGTTTATCATATTTATTTATTTTTTTAAAATTAGTCCTTAAAGTAGTTTCATATATTAAAGATCCCATCAAATGGTAGTTTTAACTAATACACATGATTAGCAAATGTATTCGAGGAAAGATAACATCTATTTATTATAAATAACTAATTTAATAAAATTTTTAATTTATTTAAATTAATTAATTAGCTCTTATATTAAGGATCAGAGGTAGTATATGTTTAATTTACCGTGTAAACAAGAAAATACAAAATCATTCCCCTCCCCATGTGAAACCCTCAGGACGAAAACTTGGTCTGATCTTTTTTGGTCAGCTTAAAAACCTGTTTTGTTTAAATAGTGAGTAGGACTTTTGAAGGAAAAGGGCCCAACAGATTATTTGGGCTTGGCCTATTTTGGTTGGCCATTTGGAGCAGAAGAAATAGGATATACCGCATTGCCTAGTTTGGGTTCCCTTAAGAGTTCAGAGACCAACAAGGGTTGGTTCGAGTGGTAAGCGGCTCGGTTCTACTTAAGCGAACTCTTGAGTTCGATTCCTTATGAATGCAGAAAACTCCCGCTGGGAGATTCACCCACCATACCCAGGTGGGCGACGCGGGTCGGATCCGGACATAGTCAAGGCAAAGCTCCGGTAAACTGGGTGGGGGGAAAAAAAGAGTTCAGAGGACCAATTTCAGTTAAAAAGGAAAAAATAGGAATAGGGGCTTCATGAGTTTTTTTTTGCCTTCGGTTTTCATCCATATTAATCAATATTAATATGTTAACATAATACCAATACTTAGTAGTAGTCTATCTCTGTTTTTTCCCCCACCAAAAGCAGTAGTCTACCTATTAATTAAAGGCTTAAAGAGGCGCACTATTCAATTCATTCGAGTTGATGGCAAACCCAAAAAAAAAAAAAACATTTGAGTCATTATAATACAATAAAGCCTGAAATTTTATAGAAAAAATACACTTCTTATAAACCCTTTTTTTTTAAGCAAAAAACTTCTTATAGGTTTAAAATTTTGCTATTTCTCGTAATTTTTTTATTTACTCAACATAATTATGCACCTTTTTATTTATTATTTGACTTCAATCGTAAAATTTTTATCTTCTCCAACAACAAATTTTTATATAAAAATAATTTATTTATTATTGAAAAAAACTCTAAATCAAAGTTAAAATTTAGCATAAAATTAAATCAAAGGATTAAAATTATATTTTCACTAAATAAATAATAATAATATTCCGAGCTTGGAAGCGTAATCTCGTTACCAGCTAGGGCTTCCCTCGCAATTGTTCACTGGTGGTGCTGATAGCAGCGAAACAAAGGAGACACCGAAAAAGAGAGCGACAGGGCCACAGGGGGAAAGAGAAATGGGGAGAGAAAGAGAGGTGCCGAAGCAGCAACAGCAACAGGTGGGATACGCGGAGCAGCTTGTCGCCGTTAATCGCTATAATCCTGACATCCTTCCCGATCTCGAAAACCATGTCAACGAGCAGGTACTCGACAAATTTTTAGTTTTTGATTTCTGTTATTCTTACGTTTGTCCTCTTTAACTGGGTCTTGATTAATAGAGATTGAAATTTCTATATATACTTTTATGGGTATTCCTGTGTATCTCATGACTGTTTTGTCCGCGTGATTGTTGAATTCATGTGTTGAAATCCATTACTCTTGATCACGTACGTAGATGTTATGCGTCTTCCCCTCCTTGTTTTATATGGTATTCTTCCTATTTCCATAGGAGAACGGGGAGATGTCGTGTATTTACGAAACAAGCAATCCAGTCATAGCAGCAAAATGAATCTAGGGGCTTGGAAGCATATGAAAGTTTTAAGTAGTTTGTCAGTTCAGAAAATAGTGTGGTCTTGGCATGCACAACGGCAGCATTATCCATGATTTTCATTCACGGCATTAGTGGGGAGAAACACCTTTTAATTTTTTCCCATTATTTTTAACTAAGCATGTATTTCCAACTATTCTTTGATGATATCGTTCTTCTCAGTCCCCCATACTACTGAGAATGTGATTGGCAGGTAATTTGAGAATAAGGTACAAAATGGAGGAGTATGAAATTTTGTAATATTTTACAGTTGTCATTATGCTACGGCTCAATTTTTTTTTTCTTTAATTTCTCTTGATTGTTTATAGTGAAAATAAAATGGAAGGGATCACTTTATTTTTGTTTCATTTCCTCTCTCTCTATAGACATGTACATGTACTTTTGTTTCATTTCCCTCTCTCTCTATAGACATATACATGGTAAGATCTCTTATACTGCAATAGCTCTGCTGCGCTAGGCAAATGCATGGAAGACATATACAATTTCATATATTTCTATAACAGCCATCAACTTAAAATGTGTGATGTGTACGTATTCTTTTGGACCGTTGATTTGACATTTTCCCTTAAGTTTAGGACATAATTTTCACCTCATCTGTACGATGAACAAATTGTAATACGTCTAAACAGTTAGTTACCTCCATTTTCCCCATCCCACCAGTTTACACTCTAACCGGTAGTTTGTAGGACTATTTTGAACGTGTATCTTGCTAGCTGTACGTCTGTATGCCGACTAAACAAATTTTCTTTTACATTCTGTTTATTTTCTAAACCAGGTTTCATCACAAACGTACAGCTTGGATGCAAATCTATGCCTTCTTCGCCTCTATCAGGTATTTTGCATGCATCCTAATGAAAGGAATAGGCAGGCACTTCTGTTTCCCTAGGAGGAGGTCTCATTCTTTATCATCAAACTTTCTTTTCCTTTGTAATTAGCAATTATTGTAGCTATTCTACCTTCTTGTTTTCTCTTTCAGTTTTGGCTGTAAGACCACTGTTTGCTCACACTGACAGAATGCTGAGTAGGTTACTAATAAGTTTTTCTATCATTACAGTTTGAACCAGAGAGAATGAGTTCTCAGATTGTAGCCCGCATATTGGTCAAGGTCTGATTAAGCAATTTATGGCTGTATTTTGCTTTTTATGAAAAGGAGCACGTATGATCAGTGGATTGAATACAGGGCTGATGTTTTACTTTCTTCTATTGAGCAGGCCCTCATGGCAATGCCAGCTCCGGACTTCAGCCTTTGTCTCTTTTTGATTCCAGAACGTGTGGTATTTTTCTTTCAAATCATTCTTTTCTTTGTTCTTGTCAGGGTCACGGAATAGTTTGTTCTAATGTTTGTTTATTATGATTCTTAGCAAATGGAGGAGCAATTCAAGACATTGATTGTTTTATCACACTATTTGGAGGTATGCATTGGGTCTCATTATCCAGTCGTCTACCCAAAACTTAAGTATTAATCTATTTCTTCATTCACCAGACAGGAAGATTTCGCCAGTTTTGGGATGAAGCAGCAAAGAATCGTCATATAGTTGAAGCTGTGCCAGGTGATGAGACACTGTGACGGATGAAAAGATAATTTGGTTTTTTGGTGCTGACACTTGAAACTGATAGAGCCTTCTAGCTTCTGCTTTTTCATTTATACATATGCTTATGCACCAGTCTGAGAAGCTATCGATTGCAGGTTTTGAGCAAGCAATTCAAGGTTATGCAATTCATGTGCTCTCGTTAACTTACCAAAAGGTTCCTAGATCTGTGCTGGCTGAGGTGGGTTATAATCTGCCCATTTGAGCCTTTAATTTATTAATTATTGGAATTTGCTTTTTCCTTGCTACTAGTTGCTGTCACCTGACTTAGTTGATTTTTGCTTTTGAGTCACTTGTATTGAATGTGGTGCATATTCATTTTTCTCCTTGTTAGCAAAAGCACATGATCAAAACCGAATGTAATAGTGGGGGGAGGCCGCAGGGTTGTGTCTAAATTTTGTGTTTTCCTGACTTAGATTCCTTATTTGAGCATGAAAGATGCCATGATTTTCTCATTAGTCTCAGGTATAAAATAATTAATTGTGTCAATAACTCTCGCAGGCCATCAACATAGAAGGCTTGGCCTTGGACAAATTCCTTGAACACCAAGTAGCTAACAGTGGTTGGGTCATTGAGAAAGGCCATGGCAAAGGTCAACTCATTGTCCTACCAAGAAATGAATTCAATGACCCAGCATCGAAGAAAAATGCTGCAGACAGCGTGCCATTGGAGCAAATTACGCGTATTTTCCCTATTCTGGGCTGACATATCTCTGGATCCGCCCAGTGACACAAATTAAACTCTATTGATCAGTTTTCGGGGGTTTTGGGTTCCTTTTGCCTTCTCTTGTGCCTGCTACTCTCTCTGGATGCCTCCTGATTTACTTTCCGGATGAAGATTTTTGAATGAGATTATCTGAGGCTACTTCTTCCTGTCGCTTTTCCTTTCAGATGCTTCAGTTTGATTATAGAGGACAGCTTTTTGTCAGTGATCGAGAATTAATTTAAGCTGCTGTACCAATGGATTATTGTACTTAAGAATGGTTCGTTCAACGGTGGTCATGTCTAAGTTAGTAGTTTCCCTAGTGGCAAATCTTGTTTGTGGATGCACTCAATCCGAGTTATGGTAATGCTGTGAGGAGATCGAGAAATTTGCATAGGATGTCATGAAATAGTGCATATGCTTCGAAGGCAATTATAAGCAATGTGGTCAAATATCATTTTATAAATAGTCCTAGCCATCTTAAGCTATGGGAGTGTAAAAAAGGTAACTAGCCTTTGTCTAAAACATTTATTACAATATTTCAGTTATGCCCTTCATGAAAATATATCAACTTGGTCAACTTTTCTTGGTTAAAAATAGGTATTTCGTTCTTATAAAGATGAAGGATATAATACAATTGTTAGTTGATACGTCTCCATTTATATGTTTTAATACAATAAAAGAAATGCAAAGAATAAGAAAATTAGCCTTTGATGCTTTTCTATTTATATGGTACTTTCAAGATAAATTATTTCTTTTCTAAGTAAAAAGCTTCTTCATTTTCCAAAACAAAAATAAATAATTAGAAGACAAAAATGATATTTTTCCTCATCTTTCCCTTGTTAGCACGATGCGATTCCATCATCCACTGAAGAAAAACCCCCGGACATAGGTACATTCTCAATGTTTGACGGTAAAGTCCGACATATCACACCTCAGCAACATTTTTTAAAAATCCATTTAAGCAAATTAAATTGTCCTTCATTACTTCATATAGCCACACAGAGAGCTTAGAGGAATTGATCACCCCAACTATTAAGCTAGAAATAGCTCAACGATCACTGCAATAGGTCAAACCCAAAGAGCAGCTACAAAAAGTAATATTATTTAAAAGAATCATCTGCAAATCTAAAAAGTAAGAGCTCCAACGGGCATGATTTATATTTACAAAAGTGCAAACAATGACCTCCAGCAAAGAAAAAAAGGAGAGAATTTTTACAACCCCTTGCTATTTACTCTGCTCTACCATGTTTTCATATTTAAATTGAGATTTTCACAAATAGAGTTAATGCGGCAAGTCAATGGACTATGAGCCTGGAGGATTTCTTCTTGGACCAGCATCTTACAGTCACAGAGAAGCCCACGAATGCCTCTGTTTTTCTTTCCTTGCTTAGGCGATAACCGCTCCCTCACCATAAAGTGTCTCTATTTTCTACTTAGTAGCCTCTTCTGATCAAACCCAAGTCAACTAGGTGTAGATTATATATTAGTGCAAATGATCATCGTGCCAAAAAATTCAATGGCAAAGGGTCTGTCCATAAGTCACCCACTGTACAAAACTATCTGGAAATTCCTCAACACCATTGGACCGTGAATTACCATAGGATAACTCTCGAGCGTGCTCCCTTCCCTGAGAACATTAAGCGAAGTTAGCTTTTCATAGAAAGACCAAGTCATCAAGAAAGACTTCGACTGTTGGGGAATATGTACGTGCTTCGTGCATGATATAAGCATAAACCTTAGGCACATCTCAGCGTGCTCCCTTCCCTGAGAACATTAAGCGAAGTTAGCTTTTCATAGAAAGACCAAGTCATCAAGAAAGACTTCGACTGTTGGGGAATATGTACGTGCTTCGTGCATGATATAAGCATAAACCTTAGGCACATCTCAAAAATAGTGATCAAAGAACTCACTGGAACAAATAATCCAAAACCCAAGCCATAAGAATTTAAATAATGCGGAGTGAACGCAGACTCATGAAGACTAGGAAGATCTGCTGTGTAACTGGCACAATAACTATCTCGGAAAAATTTAGGAGCTGTCCGTACAAATATTGCACTAGATAGGAGTGGTACCTTCATGTTGGAACCATATTCACTGGAGGATGGAGTTGCTTCTCCCATCATTCCATTGACATTTTCTGACGAACGCCCAGCTACTGGGGAGTTGGTAATCGAAGATCTGCAGTCATACATGTAGGTCTTTATATATAACATGGGGACACTTAGGAATACATGAGGTGCGGTTCAAGCCAAGCACCTCATAATTGCAAAACACAGATGCCCATGAATAGCTATCATTTTCAATTATATTACTCACCTCTCATACAGATCTTCCTCGCACGAATTTCCTGAAGAAGATAGCCAATCCAGGTCAACAAAGTTGGAGCAACTCAAGGAATCCCCATGCTCAGAATAGTAAATATGCTCACTTTCAAGGCAGCGCTCTTTTTGCATGCCTCCAAAAAACTGCCTCTGAGGCATTGAAGGAGTATACCTACACAGATACACGCAATAGCAGAACAAATCACAAACTGATTAGATGGACAAAATGAAGCAGCAGTATGTGTCACCATGCAAGTGGGCCCTGTTAAGTTTCTAACTTGTATTAGCATGGTATACAAGGTGACTAACCATTTTGATCACTAATCACATATTTTGTTATTGGGCAATTGAACACATAATCACAGCAGAGGATATTAAAAAGAGGACTTTTTATCGTAAACCAGGTTTCCACACCCTCCTAAAAATATTTTCAGAATGACTATTACTATAGTTACTTGCCTAGTGTTCTCATCCAGAAAGGTCTGCTACAAGATGACATCAAATTCTGTACAATATAATAACTAGAGTAAAAATGACAGAAAATAAAATGGATATTTTTATCTCATCAAGTATGCTTCAACAAGAACTTACAAATTTGCGTATGCAATAATAGAGGCAGACCTTGAAAAGGCTATGTCACTCTCAGAAGTTATTTCAGGAGAAGACTCAGAATGAGCCTTGCTTCCTTCTGATCCGTCAGGCAAAATTGGTCTAGAGAAATTTTCCTGCTTGGAAGCTGGAGTTGACATAGATGTAGAACTGCCACGAAGAATGCTCCCATCTGACAAGGATCTCTTGAAAAATAACCTTAAATACCAAATTTTAATGTTACTGTGCAAGTTGCATTGACAAGCAATTTTTATATATATGCTTCATGTCATCATGATGTCTTGAGCAAGTCCATAATATAAGTCACTGTTAACTACCTCACCAGATGCAGCCAAGATAGTATGATTACCTTCCATCTTCATCTCCTTGTTTCCCAGCATCATAGTGCTGATCTGAATCTAACTCCCACAGAGCAGGCTTACCCTGTTGCGGCTGAAAGTGTCCCAGGAATCTGTATCAACAAAACAGACGAGTCATCTTATGGTTTGTGTACAGACAACTTTACCCCCAAACCAAAGGAAAAAAATTACATCACAAAATTATTAGCTGCTAATGTTTGACACTACAATGACTCAAGAGCCACCCATTAAGATCCAGGCAGAGTGCAAAAGATATCAGAGAACGAAATGGGAGATTCTGAGAGATGGATTTTTGACAGCCACTTTCTCCGTCATTGTAAATAGTTAGACTACATGTTCGTCCAAGATCATTTGAAAATTCTTCTGAGCAGAGATCTATAGGGAAGTTGAGACTTGAGAGATGGATTTTTGAAGGTTTGAGAACAGACATCAACAAAATTGTTGGTCTTGCAATTTACAGATGACGATGGCAAAAATAGGAGCAATTTCTCATGATTTGATTAATTGCAGACGTGTTACCAGGAACAAGGAGGGGAAAAGCTTGAATGGCATTGACAAACTACCGCCATCCTTGAGTGCCTTTGATTGAAGCACGATGCTGAAGAAGTTGTCCGTCCGTACACTTACTTGGAAAAGACTATTTTGTGGCTTGGCAAACAAGTAGAGAGTGAAAAGCTCTTGTATCAAAATCGTTTAATCCCTATTTTGCTCTTGCATAGCTGTGTGTGTGTGTGTGTGGGGTATTGGTAGTTTTTAATGATGTAAGGATAAAGAATAGACCTGAACAGTAGGAAGTAGTTTTAGTATTTAAAAAATAGACCTATCATATCATCCTACTGGCTGCAGTTGCTTCCAAATAAAACCCTCAGAAATATATCTTCATAGCTGTTTTGTACTTGGAAATTCTCACTTGCAAATTGAATTAACATCTGCGCATATGCATTTCAAGCCTCCCACTTATTTTTTCCTTCTAATATGTTTTTTTTCTTCTCTTTGATTTCCATATTTTAAAAACAAAAGAGACAGAGAGGAAAGGAAAAAGAGAACAAACTAGATGAGAGACATGTCGTAAATAAATCCAAGCTTTGAAAACAATACAAGGAGGCACCATAGAAATTAAAGGACAAAATGACTTCACACATACACATTGATTGCATCTTGCTTCTCAGAATCCATGTATGCATTGCTGTAATAGCGTTGAAGAGTCCTAAAAAACTCTTGAGATTGTGTTGCAGCTCTCCACTGGCCCCTCCTCTCGGAGAATATCTATAAGGCGAAAAAAGAAAAAAAAATATTATTACAAGTCAAATTGCTACTTTATTGTAACAACATGCAAGCCAAATCAATAGTTTTCAACAATAGGACCCCATGACCACTCCACTCTTCCCACTAAATGGTAAAATGGCAAGGCACGAAAGAATGTGCAAGCTAATTCAATCACAATTCTCAACAAACCCCACGACTACAGCTTGTCAGCCTATAAAATAGCAAATTGGTATAACGAACAAGAATATGCAAACCTATTCTAAACAAATGCTCGACAAAAAGTCTCCGTTACCCACACTACTCTGCCCACTAAAAGGTAAAAAGGCATGACAGACAAGAACGTGGAAACCAATTTGATCACAACTCTCAATATGAAAACCCCTTCACCACTGCCACTCTGCCCATTAAAATGTGAAGTGGTATCAGGAATGAGAAACAAGAAACAAAAGAAAACTAAAATTGGCCACTGCAAGTGAGGTCGCCTTGTCCTCATGAAAACTATTTGTTGTCTCTGGGAGTAACTCGGACAAAGTGCTAACATTCTTAGAAATGATAATGAAACAAACCTGCATAAACCCACTGCCAAAGTACCAAGAAAGCTAATACAACTAAAGCATCAATCTTATGCAACATAATTAGTTAAGAAATATGGTTAATCCCTATATAAATTCAATTGGAGATGAATAAGGAGAACTTCTTCTTTTTATATCCCTTTCTTTCTTCTGCTACAATTTCCTTCATTTATCCCCAAGAAACAAAATTCCTTTACCAAATCAACAAGTTTAAAGGTCACCGCATAGATGACACAGGTAATTATGAAAATAAAATAATGTAGAACTGAAGCTATTGTAAGATCACCTTGTTGTGCGCTGCAGAACCACCATACTGATGTGCAAGTGTGTCACCCATACGCTCATAAAACGCCATCAAATCATCAGCTACCGGGTCATTAAGGTCAATTTTTGGGTTGTCAATAATTCCCAGAGCATGGAGTTGGTGGCCGAGAGCAGCCAACCCATATGCATATTGTGCAACATTTGTGCGGTCTAAGCAGTCTATGCAATTGGTTCTCAGCACCCCCCTCTGAAACATGGGGGCTTTGATAGAATGATTTCCGTTAGCAACATTATTTTCTTCACTAGGTTTTCTCTCTAAATTACCAGCATCCTCATTATAATTGTCAAGAAGTCTTGGTGAAGAGCTTCCCATATCAATTTTGCTGGATGCAAACGTTAAAATCAGTAAACAAGACACAACAATGACAAAAACTTGAGGTACTAAACCTTCGTCAAACATTACTTATTATTAAGATTGCTCAAGTTCAGTGAACAAATTCATCAAATTGCTCTTATCTAAAGCCGTTTTACAAGTTCAAGTCTAGATAAAGAAAATCTTAGAAATGGTGTGAAAGAAGTCATTGTAACCACATGATGAACTTACTCTACAGATGGGCATCTTAAAGATTCCTCAGGTACCAACGTAGGTGTCACTTGGCAATAAAGAAAACCTGTTAATGTCAATGCATATGCAGCCACTTTGCCCAGAAGTAGCAGGACATTTGCAGATTTGCTGGGAGGAGAAAGGAAAAATAGTTTTGAATCAACTACCTTAGAGTGCACACGATTTTCCTGAGGATGATCAATACATACATATATATATTTATATATATATAAGACACCTACCTCTGAAAGTGTTTGTGCAGGTCCCAGTGAAGGAATCTAAGCCGGTTCTCCTCAGATAAATCTTTGTTGATGAAATCAATCGCATTAGCAAACTCTGAACGGAGTATGGACTCACGAGGCTTCTTTTCATGGGTCTGTTGGATAAAATATGCAAATATCAATCAACAAAGATTCTTATAAAAATGAAACGTATAAATGTTAGACGGGACATCCCATGACCAGAAATTGCACTCTGTCATGAGGAAAACAGTCCAAGATATCATAATACGTGTCAACAACTTCTGCACATAAGATGATGAGTTGATAACCAATATAGAAGAAAATTTCATCTTGAGGGAATAATACAGTGACATGTCAAATAAATTAGGGAAAAAAAACCATTTCCTTCTAGAAAAGGAACATTACCTTTATTAAGTTCAAAATTATTATGGGATTCCCATATCTCTTGACAAGATTTTCAAAGTGCAGCCTAGTGGCTTGGTAATTCTGATCTTTCTTTGACACTGCAAAAGAAGAACTGACTCAATGGGCAGACAAATAGACACCCATGAACTGATGCTCAACAAAGTAGAAAGGACAAGACATAAAATAACTCCAGAATAGTTACAGAAGACATACATATAATATCAGGTTTAAGATTTAAGCGTGAAGTCTCCTGCGACCAGAAAAGAGGGATTGAACCACGGTTCTGGACAACAGAAGTTATTTGGGCAGGAAGACCTTCAGGAACATCCTCAAACACAATTTGTTCTGTCTCAACATCATTAGCTACTCTGCCCTTCTCATTAACACCTCGCCTCAAATACCTGCATAAAATAACCAAGTGAAGCTGGCAATTTCAGACATGAAACTCCAAATATGTATGCACTGTCTTTATTAGGTCAAATTAAGACTTAAATAATAAATATTAAAACAAGGATCACAATCTTTACATTGAAAGTTTGAGGTGTTATATTTGTAGAGGACAAGAGTACTTTGCTAATACAGGCATTGTATCTATTATCTAAAAGAGTTATTCATGAACCATGAAGACAACACACTATACTTGATTTTCTTTAATTTACTATACTTGATTTTCTTTTAGTTTTTTCTCAAGAATACTCTGATATCTGCTTAGCTGACTTTTCACCCAAGAGAGAGATTAAAGAAAACACTTATAGAACTGAGCCCAATTTTCACCCGAGGCAAACCTTCTGTTTTTGTCATCCTTTCAAATGACGTCAGTTGTCAGCGCTCAAAACAAACTTATAGAGTCAAAATCTAGAAAGAAAAATTATTCTTCACATAGAAAAATCAATCTGAACAAAAAATAGAAACTGATTTCAAGTGTCATGCTTGTTCTGTATTCAAACAAAGTTAAACAAGCACAACTAGCAATTTAAAATATGATAGGAATACAAGGACTGAGCATCCTCAACAAAAAAAGATAAATCATCAGAGGGGCTACTTCAAACACTAGGACTCTTTGGGCAGCTGCATAATCATTAATCAACTGAAGCATATGCACCACAAAATCATATTAGCAGACAACATAGAGCATAACGGATAACAGGAAAATGAACTTGAACTGTTTAGAGAGAGATTGGGAAGGAATTTCATACCTTGTGCCAGCATAATGGCGTGAACGTCTTGAAATGAGGGTGAGTATGAACTCCCGTCCAGCTACTGTAAACGTGCCCTAACACAGCCACCAAATAAACATAGGATGTTGAATATAGGAATGACAATGCAACTACTTCAATCCAGCAGTAAATAAGCCAATTGGTCAATGAACAAATAAAGTATGCAATTCAAAATGATAATCCTAGAAGAAAGTTCATCTTGATGTGTCGCATTGATAACCAAAAAAGTAGAAATTATTACACTTTTCCTGCTTCAACAAGATTATGAATATCACATTACTCAGTGTCAGAGCTCAAAAGCCATCCATTCTCACCTGTTTGAAGAAGCCGTACACTAATGCAACTGTCCAAAGAGTATTTTGGAGATGGTTCCTGATTCCCCTGGTCAAGAACTCATTCCAAACAAACATGGTCTCATAAAGTACATGACCTGTCTCATTATGACATAAGTTGTTTTGAAGACTACGCATAATGTGGTATGAGTAGCTGAAAAAGAAGTCCTTCGTAAGATCGACCATGCATAGGAGCTTCTTGTATCTGAAATGCCAATGCAAAAAGATATAAATAAAACAAAACTGACAAAGCTTGTAACAATAAAATTGACATGCCGCTAGAAAAATAGTACAAAGCATCTAGAATAGTACTGCCTACTCATTAAGTTGTACTTTGTCTCATCATTGTCAAATTCTAATAAAAACCAGTAATTCATCAACAAATCTGAGAACCTTTTAACATGAGATCCAGCCAAACAGAAGATAAGCAATTGTTAATATGAGAATACTCATTTTCATCTTATCTTTGCATATAAAAAGATGAAGTGGGATTAATTTAAAATCAGTCAAAGGTTGAGAAATTGTGAAGATCATTAGCTATGCATATATGCAGAAACACAACCAAAGTGATTTTCCTCTTTTTAACTGTCAAATACAATAACAGAGATAATCAGCATTCAGAATGAATCAAAACAACTGCAAAGAGATGTTAAGCTTCCCTTGGACTAATATTTTTAACATAATTTATGCTTGATATGCATAATTTTAGGTTTTAGTACCCTTTTTTGGGTATTAGTCATTTTTTGGGAGCATTTCTTATCTCCTTCTACCTTTTAGAATTTTGATCTTCCCTTAACATAAGTTCTTTCACTATTAAAAAAGAAATGGCAAGACATGTGAGTTTGTAGCAACCTGTTTTCATTTTTAGAATCGGCAATGCTAGATTGAACTGAAGAATTTGGGAGCGGTATCATCCTACTCTTTGATATGGCATATACTGTGTGACCACAGATTGCACCAATTTGCCTTCTTTTGTGATAAGCAGCATGTAGTATGGTCCTAAAAACTTGATGAACCCTAGAACAGAGAAGCTGAATAAGTTAACAAGTGATAGCTTATCAAGGAACAACTGAGCAAGACATCATAACTCAACTTACCAACAATTCCATAACAAGTTGTAACAAATTTCAGTCCACCTGTGGACTTGTTCCCTTCATGTATCCGCCTCAACAAGTCAGAACATTGCTCTTCTGTATATGTTGTAGAATCTTCACACAGGTTTAGCTCACAAGGCTCTAGACGGTCAATCTTCAGCACTCTCCAATATGTCCTGCTCTTGTCCCTTCCTATCATGTAAAAGTTCTGTGACATGAAAATAAACAAATGCACAAGGTAAAAAATACTTCACAAAATAAATATTACAGTTTTTGACTGTCCAATCTTGCACCATGATATTGGACAAACAGGTTCAACCAACTTAATATGCACGAAAGACAGTGGCATTATGATTCATAATGCAAACAACCTAAAGCATGAACATGAGCTGGTCGAGACACAGATTCATGGAAGGCAACACTCAATCATCCACATTGGTATTCCACGTGCAAAGAGACAGAAGGCCCATACAGAGGCATTTGGAGAAGAGAGAGCCGTTCAAAATTCCAGTAAGGAAACTTTTAGAGTTCAATCAAAACATGAAAGAGGATCATGAAGGTGAGTAGTTCTGCCTCCTTTGCCAAACTAAATTTTATATAGTACGATAGTAATAAAGTACACGTAGGGAAATACATCGGACCACCCGCTAGACACATGGTTTTTCTAGAAAAATTCAACACCGCAAGTTGAGTCATTAATGATATGCGTGAGTGCGGAGAAGATAGGAGAATAAATACACTGGCACGTTTAAGATCCCACAAAAAGCATGTTTCATCATTGACTATGCTAGCATGAGCAAGATAAAAGGTGCATTGAATCATATGATCTACAGAGAGTATTACTATAGTGCTACATTTGGTCAGATGCAGGAGACAAAACAATGACAAAACTTTCCATGGTACAGAACGAGATATTCATGCCTAAAATCACTGTTAAGGGAATGTAATGACTTCTGAAAATTAAAAAATGAACAATGCTTTAAAACTATTTTGCAGAAAAACATAAAACAACACAATGATTTCAGGTGAAATAACGATGATGACAAAATCAAATAGATCTCCCTAAAAATTGCAGTTTACCTACAACTTTGATTACCAAAAAATGAAAAGAAGACAATCAAGATAAGGCATACCGATCGAGTCTCATAGAGCCTAAATTTCTGCATACAGGCATGTGCTGGAGGACAGGGTTCGTCTCCCACAGACAGAGAGTGAGAAGGCTCGTTCTCTGACGACCCCATAACTTTTTTTTTTTTTTTCCTTTTTTCTTTCAAAACTCAGATCCCCGAGCCCCTGGCTCAGGGAAAATATCAAAACGGCATGCAAAGCTAAGCAATTACAAAATTCAGAATCACCTAATTGGAGCCATAATGCTCACAACCCAAATATAAACTCATATCCTTGACTGTAGGCTGCTTCAAATACAGCATTATCTTCCAAACAATGTTAAAATCATCAGGCTCCCTTCATCAACGCAGCTCCTTCTCCTCCCCCACCATGTCCTAGAAGAATCACCACCATCACTACCACCGCCCCCTGCTGCTTGTGGCTGTGGCAGCTATTTGCTATAACCCACGAGCCGCTGATCCTCACTCAAACAACGCCAATCCTAATAAACAGATCGAACAATTTTCAGCACAACAAGAAAACTGCAAATTGCCGGTAATATTTTGGACGTGTAATGGTATGCTCACATAGACGAAAAGCGGCGGAGGATTTCTAAATGGAAGCTTTACATATGGAATTGAAAGAGGTACGAAGGGAAGATCAACCAAGGGAAATCGAAAGTAGAGATTTGGGAGGAATAACAATGGGTGAAGCAACGGAGGCAGGAAGAATAGCAGCTAATAACTGATTCATTTCTATCTTTATTTCAATAATTTTTTTCTAAATTTTTCTCAGCGAAGGAGAAGCTCAGATCCAAAGACCTTATTAATCAAATCAAAACCACAACTTCGCATCCACACATTTTAAAAAATGAAAAACAAATCTACAAATACGTGTCTCTAACAGTCTAACATGTGACATTATTTATTACCTAGCTTGCTTTGCAAACGTAATAAAGAAAATACTACCTTCCACCGAGAACTAGTTGACTAATTTGAGGAGATTAAAAAAATAAGTTAAGTTAATTATTTGTAATAAATAGGTATTGTTTTTCTAAAACATCCCTACTAATCAAGTTTATTATCTAGAATTATCACTACTAAAGGACTACTTTAGAAAAAATGCATAAATATGAAAGACAAGGTGGATTGGGATTTTTAATTAGGATTAAAATAAAAATCAAACGAGGTCTTATATTAAAGCTGGAGGTAGTAATATGCAACAATAATTAGGTTAGATTATTTTTAACAATTTTTATTTATTTAAATAATTAATAATTCAACGACCGACGTAAACACGAAAGGTGTCACCTATAATTTGTGACCAGTGCTTCTCGAAAACGAAGGAGCGAGATCTTCCAGCTCGCAGCTTCTTCTTGATTATAAAACTATACTTATTTGTACGATAAATAAATATATATACGCGTGAATGCCCCGGTTTTTACCAAAAGATAAATAAAAAATATACGTGTGAAAAGTCTGTGTGTTCTAACTATCCTGACCTAGGACGGCAATAAATAATAGGAAGATGTTCTTATCGATTATCTGCTGGCCTTTTTTTTTTTTAATTGTCAGAATTATCTTCTCGAATTTTTTTTGGCCATATTATCTGCGAGCATTTAAAAAGTGACATTTCAAGAGCAATGTTATCCTTTAGTTCGCTTCTATCAAACGAAGATGTAGCATTTATTTTGCTTGGCTCTGTCGATTTTCAAACCCATCTGTTTGGAGACCAAACTCAACCAATCATTACTGATATTTCGCATCTTGATGTTATTGATTTTCTGCTAAATTGTGTGTGATTTAATAATACTGCTATATACTACCTCTGTTCTTAATATAAGATCTTACTTAACTTTTATTTTGATCTTAAATATAAGACCACAATCCACTTTGTCTCTTGTATTTATGTATTTTTTTTTAAGATAGTCCTTGCAACAATAGTAGTTCTAATCAATACATTTAATTAGTAAGAATATTTTAGGAAAGACACCACCTATTTATTACAAATAACTAACTTAACTTCTTTCCTTAATTTCATTAAATTTGTCAACTAGCTCTTATAATTAGGACCAGAAGTAGTAATAAATAACACAACTATGTTTGTCTTTTGGAACATGTTCACAAAATAGGATGTTTTTTGCAATGCTCAAAGAAAATTTTGAGTGAAGAGTTTTGCGATGCTTATTAAATTTATAGGAAAACCCTACATTACGTGATTAAAGGATTGCTAACAACTATATATATGAAAGAATCATAAGCCCATCTTTTTCTTTTTGACCGAAGGGATAAGCCCATCTAATAGAATAAGAAATTAAGGGTGTGTTTGGATAGAATCCAAACCATGGTTTCAAAAGTGTTTTTACGGATTACGAAGTAAATATGTGGAGGAGATTATCTCGTTTTGCGGAAAAGTGCTTCTGAAACCACGGTTTGGGGATACCCAAACAGGCCCTAAATCTAAAAATAGTAAAATAATATTAAATGTATGATGAAGTTATTTCGTTATGTGATCATGAACATAATATTTTTAATGTCAATTATGAGCATAGTTTTCAAATAATTTAAACGAAGTAGACAGTGTGCATTTATTCTATTTTTTTTTTTGTTGGCCGGATTGCGTTTATTCTATATGGATATGCATGCTACGTGCGAGTCTCGTACTTCTTGTGAAGGGATAATAAATAATATTTGTTTTTATTGATTTGTAAATACTAACATCAACATTTCTCTCGCACATTCATAAATATAAATTTTCACTGTCAAAACTTTCGGCTAAAGAATTGCAAACATTTTTTTAACTCTCCACAACTCCCAGATCATAATATTAAATATCGCTTAGGAATCACATGGATATTAATGCAAAAAAAATAAATAAATAAAAGTATGGCAGATAGAATTAATAAGCTGAACTTCTTGAATGAGAATAGTGCGTGATTATTTATTTCTTTAGTCCTCGGCCATAATACACGGCCAAAACTGCATGTGGGGCGTATATAGACTAAGATTTTATTCCAGAGTGTAAGGCACGGTAATATTATACTATTTCCGGTTCTAATTATAAAATTTGTTTGTAGTCTAAAAATAAGATTTTATAAATAGAAACGAAAGTAGTATATATGATAATTATGTGAATTGGTGTGGTGGAGCTTGTTGAGGGCGATCAACGACATCAGCGATGGTGCGTTTAGTGTTGGTGGTGAAGAGGCTGTGCAAGTTAAAGGGGGCGACGGAGGAAGGAGGGCCGTTCCACAAAAGGAGGGCGAATTGGCGGTGAATCATCTGGGTTGGGTGGAATGAATCCCACCACACATGATCGTTCACGTTGTCGCATAAGCTGTACTCTGTCGTTTTCTTTGTCCCCCCACAGCTGAAGATGCCCCCGTATGGTCCACTTCCACAGCACGCTTTCACTCCTTCCTTCAATCCTTCACTCAAAACACATGCTTCTTTTCAGATTGAAATTTCACACTATACGATCAATAAGACTTGTTCCAATTCAACCCCACAATATTTAAATCCCAACCTTTGGTGTGCAAGATTAAACCAATGCCAAAAAAAAAAGATTGAAAAAAGAATGCCAGCTCTCAGCACTTTGAAAATATAGCATGATCTCGTCTTTTATTATTGGATTTTTCTCTATACTAAACATGCTGTTAAAGACAAAAATGTCTCTTTTTTTTGAGAATACCGCAATCAATTATTTTATTTTCTTCACACGTGTTACCTACCTAGACCTTCATAGTGGTTGTTTAATGTACTAGAATTCTATGGCCAGCACCCAAAAAAAAAAGAATTCAGTGTACAACTGTACATGATGTCAATTAGATATGCCAAAGGATGGAGGAAAGAATAGGTCAATATTTCGTCGTTAAAATGTCAAAATCTTCTGTTGATGATATGAGATATTGATTGATGGGATTATTATAGAAGCACATGGAGAAGAGAGTTATACTGTAGATACCGTAAGTAGCGGGGTTGTGGATTCGATCATGAAGCCAATCGTAGAAATTGGAATCGGAGTAAGAGAAGGCAGGGAGGGCAAGTTGAAGGCTGGCAAGAACAGAAGAGAGAGCATTATTGTGGGCGAGCGCAAGAGCCGAAGCTGCTTCCAAACACCCTCCTTCAGGATTTAGTGCTCTCAGGGCAGGCAAACACCCCAGCGGACCCAGGCTTAAAAACCCAAACTTTCTCCCTCCATTCTCGTACAGTCTCTGAATATTTCGATCCAAACAAATCACTCATCATTAACTAATTAAAATTACAATAGAATTTTGTTTCTTTTTATCATTATATTCTAATTAAAATGAGTAAAATTTTGATATCTTATGAGAAAAAATGTTTTAATTTTCAATCTTTTTTATGATTTTTTAAAAAATTTACATCTAAATAAAAAAGAAGTTGCAACAATGTTGGAGTATTTTTCCTTTGAAAAATTATAAAAATTGAAAACTGAGTCAAGATATCAAAATTGTACTCATTTTACGTGGAATCTAATGATAAAAATAAAATAAAATAAGAGAAACATTTGGCAAGAGTTGACACCCCAAATCCAGAAACAAGGACTTACCTGGATTGTTTGAGTCAAGTTGCCGATGACCATGCCAACGTACTGCTCGGGAGTGAAGCGTTCTTGCATCTTTGGATTGCCCAGATACCCGCTCATATAATCGTTGCTTCCTATGCTTATGAAATACACAGCTTCTCCCAATATTTCTTTGGCTCTCCCCTCTCCCACCTTCTCTTCCAATCCCTTTCTCACTTCTTCGAAGTTTTTCACTTGTGTTTCAAGATCAATCGCCTGATTAATTATAAGGTCACAACCTATATATGAATTGTGGAACGCGTAAATGTAAATATAATGCATCATTGAAGATTATTAATTGCGTTTTTACCAGTCCTTGATTGGTCTCAGGAAGAACACCAGCCCCTCCAGAAGCAAAGTTGACGCCGTAGGTATGATCAGCAGATGGTTGTAAAAACGGAGGAATCAATGGCAGATTTGCATATTCAGCTGTATATAATCAGCAATACATATCAAACTTACTAGATTCGAAGCACGCATTTAATAAGTCAGAAATCCATACTCGTTTCTTATTGTTGACTTTTTGTTTATCTCATGATTGACGTGACTCGATCACAAATTGGACACAGTTGCAACAGTGAATGAAGCAAATCAAAAGGAGTGATGGATGTGATCGGTAGGTACCTATAAAATCTACAATAATGCGGCCATCAGAGAATCTTCCGGTAGGTCCTTCAAAGAATCCATTCTGGCCATAGGGTTTGTAATCTGCTCTGTTCTCTGGGATTGTTTCAATGTAATTATTATTGCCAGAATCCACAGTGGAATCTCCAAAAATGAAGAAGCTTGCTCTGCTTTCTGCCGTCTGGTGCGAGCCGACTGAGTCACTACTCTGTGATGGCCTGAAACTGAAACAAGCGATTAAGGCTGTGCACAGAATAATGCGATTCAGATCGGAGTTCAGATTCGCCATTGATCTCAGCCTCGAGCTCGTAGCAGGTAGTAAGTATTGGTTCACTTAACATCTATTTTATGATATAATGCTTTAATTTCTCTGGCGATGCCATCAATGTGAGTTGCTCTAGGCAGCTGGCAATTCGAGGACGCGGCTCGCAAGTGTCGCCACACATTTTTGTTCAAATTAATGCAACGAAAATTTGCAAGAATTTATTTTACTCATTTTTTAGTGTGCCTTGTATCAATTATACTGGGTAGGACCGCTCACTCCGCTCAATCTCCTGGGTCATCCGTCAATGTGTTCTAATTATTTTGATTGTCGGTGAGTGGAATTAATTAACGATGCTTTTAGCCTGGACGCACATCACAGCATGGAGGCGAAGGATAAACGGGACACGTGTCATGCATGTTTATCTTACTTTCAGTTCTTAATCATAAGATTTTGTTTATAATTTACAAATAAAATCTTATAATTAGGACGGGAGGTAGTATTACGAGTAACCCATGGTAATATCATGATAAGGTTTCGAAGAAGAAGGAATATATTGACAAAAAAATCTTATAACAACTGGGTAGTTTATAAGTTTTAAGAGTCAACCAACAAGAAGTCTCAGCTGCTTGGTATTGTGACTTTTTTTCTTTTTTTTTTTGAGACCTCTATAATTTGTCATATTATATCTGTATTGCCAACTTGTTATATTATATATTTATTTAATATTTAATATTTTAATTTTTCAATTTTCTCCCTTCAGCAATTTTTTATTAAAAACTATATAATTGTCCCACATAAAGAATCTAATTACCAATAGGTTGTATTCTGTCCAAGATAACTTTTAGATAAACAAATTGATAACACATAAATTATGGGATTAATTAATCTGCAAGTCTTTATAGTTTCAACCAATTTTGAATTAGGTCCCTATAATTTTTTTTTCTTTTTATCAAGTCCTTATACTTTTACATGTTTTTAATTAGGTCCTTGTATTTGTTTTTCTTTTTATCAAGTCCTTATAAGTTTACCTTATTTTTAATTAAATTCCTGAATTTTTTATTCTTTATTTTATAAATTATAATAGTAGTGTTCTTTAAACATAAAATAGTATATATTATTTAATATTAGTTTATAAACAATAATATTCTAAAAATAATGAATTATTATAATAATTTTATTTTTTAAACAAAAAAAATTAATTGTTCCAAAAATTTTCCTGAATTTTATTATATAATTATTGATTTAATTATTAATATTTTATATTTCAGTATTAATCTATTTAATTAAATTTATATTTAATTAATAAATAAAAATTAAAACTACATGGACCTTATTAAAAATTTAGTTAAATTATAAGTACTTAATAAAAAGAAAAATAAGTGTAAGGACCTAATTAAAAACAGGTGAGAGTACAAGGACCTGATAAAAAGAAGAAAAAAAACTATAAGGATTTGACTCAAAATTGATTGAAACTATAAAGACTTGTGGATTAATTAATCCTAAATTATGTTAAGAACAACTTTTTGGTTAAAAATCAACTTTTCGTATGACATAAAAATTGTCATGTCAAAAATCGAGTATTATTGTCTCTGATTAATTTATGGTGTTATTGCATATTTGAATGGAAAAATTTAAGGATATCTTAATATATTTTAGTTTTGTACTTCTCTCCCGTCCCAAATGAAGAATCTTACTCTTTTTTTATTTTATTTATTTTTCTTCATGTAGCCGAGCCGAATAAAATTGAAAAAATTATAATAAGGTTTCACAGGTCTCACATAAGATAATTAAATACAAAAAAGTCTTTTGAAATCATTAAATTATCATTGTAAGGAATTCTATTTGTTTGATTATTAAATTACCCTTATCTTTTTTTTTAAGTATCTATTAATAATTGAAATTACAGTCGTTAACAATTTAAAATGTAATGATTAACAACTATTATGATAGTTATTAACAATTCATGCATTATATTTTTGTGATACGCTAAGAAAGTGTGTTGTTAATACCTGTTGTGATATATGTTAATCGCTACATCTTAAGTTATTAACGACTGTTCCTTTAGTTTTCAATGTATACTTAAAAAAAAATATAAGAACAATTTGGTAATTAAACAAATAAAATCCTTTGCAATGAGGTCTCTTGAGATTTCAAAATAATTTGATGATTTTAAAGGACTTTTTTATATTTAATTCTCTCAGACGAGACCTTATTACAATTTTTGCAATAAAATTTTACAATTTTGACCATTTTCATTTGTGGGTCTGTCTATTTTTTTGTAACAAATCCGTCTAATAATTTAAATTCAATTATCTGTGATCATTTGGAGATTTTATGTTTGTATAATCATATAAGAAACTTAATTTGTTTAAAAAAAAAACGCGAGCTTTTCGGATTTGAGAAAATGACCAATTTTAGGACGTCCGGACTTATGAGCCTGAATTCATAATATGAGCTGAACCCATGAAAAAGTCGGTCTGTGCTTAAGATGTACCCAAGACAAAAGCAGGTGATAAAAACTGTGAGGATCACGATGACGGCAACAAGGCGGCGACTTCATCTATACGCGGTAACTTCCATTGCTTATACCCCTCACCACTACACACAAGGGCTTATTTGGATTTACAATTTATAAATACTTTTAAGTATATTTATACAAGTCAATATAAAATTTTTCTTATATATTTATCTTATATTTTGTAATTTATAATTTAAAAATTATTTATAAATTATTCCAAATAAACTCTAAAAGATCGCGTTGGAGGTATATCATGTTTCCACGAGATAACTATGAAGTGTGGTCGTTGTTTGTTGGGTTCGTTGGAGTAAAGGCCAACGCTCCACACCCGTGCATTTATTCTCCGCCTCTCAGGACCACTTCACTGTTGTTCGTAATAACTTGTGAATAATTTTTTTAGTCGGGACCCACAGAATATAAGATAAATATACGCGAGAAGTTTTAATTTGACTTATATAAATGTACTTATTGATCTAGGATCTAGACAAGTCTTTCATCTTTCCATCTCTACAAGTAATTGCCTCAAATCCGACCCTACTGTTTATAAGACCAACTCACGTTTCAAAATATCTTTTTTAAAATCTTTATCTTTCACTTCTACACCAGTAGTACCTCACAATCACCGCTTATTTACTCTCAAATCACTGTTTTTAAACTTGCACCGGATTCAATTAGTTGAGACAATGATTTAGTTTTACTTGTTTGCGTATGATTTCTTTCTTCTTCTTCTTCTTCTTCCTCCTTCTATTTTCATCCCTCCCTTTCTTCTTGTCCATCTCCTGTCTTCATTTCTTCATTCTCAGTATGCTTCTTTCCTGAATTGCCGGTGTTAAAAGTAATTAGTTATTTAAGGTGCTTTGCCTGCTCTTAAAGCTATTTGCTTCCCCTAATGCCATTGGATATATATAGCAAACATTCCACGCATGCTTTTAAAATCCTGTAATCTCACTACCATACTGTGTAGTCCTATTTTTCCAACACTTCGAGATACATGCGTACATATGTATATACACACATACATATATGTATATGCGAGTTCTGGCAAAAAAAAGTATTTCTCCGGTTCTAAATATAAGACCAATTTTGTAGTGTAATTTATATTATAAAATGAGTTTTATATTTAAGAGTGGAAGAATACTATATCTCCATATATTTTGTGTATGTAGACACCAATAAGTTTAACCTTTATGCTGAAGACATGAGTGAGAATAACTGTTAATTCCCCCGGGCGAGGATATTCATATTTCCGTGTAAAAATAATACTCCTTTAATCTCTAGCACAGGAACTGAATTTATCATAAATATAAAACATCAATATATTATGTTTCTCAAATCACTTAATCTAATGTTGTTTATAAGTGTTTTAGAAAAATGACAATGCATATATCAAGTTTTTTATGTCAACCATGTCTGGTTATTTAATCACGTATAATCATGTGTTCTGTTTTCTTAAATTATGCTATATTAGCTATAATTAACTACTTTATTTAATTTATTTACACTAGTTAATAATTTTTCTATTAAAGATAGAAGCAAGTAATATCAAAATATAGTTTACATTACGCGTGAGACATTGTAAGCAAATAATGCCTCACCTCCTGCAAGATATCTCCCTTCTTGATATTTCTATAATTTTTTGACGTGTATATCAGATATTCAGATTAAAAATAGAAACAAGATTGAAAAATATAAAAATATAATATCTCTATTTAATATAAATTACATAGAACGATAAATAAAATGTTTTTTCAAAAAATTATAGGAAGAATTATCAAAATATCAACGGAAAAATTTACTTACCAAAAAATCTTAAGTAAGTGACTAGTTTGAACTTATTTTCTATTCTAAAATTTATTATGGAAAAATCTCAAAAAAAGCTCTTGGAATATAAGAAATTCCTGATTGGATCCTGGAATTGTGCAAATGACAGAAAGGGTCAATGACCCAATCTGTCATTTGTAAAATTAAGAAGAATTGACAGCTTTGTCCTGACTAAGTAAAAGTAAATAGTTATTCTCTAAACAAATTTAGATAACGCTTATATTGTTTTAGTGATTACATGATTAGCTGTAGTTAATAACAAGACATCTGACTCTGAAAAAGTGAGTAGTTATTTTCTACACGAATCTAGGTAACGCTTACACTGTTCTAGTGATTACATGATTAGCTGTAGTTAATAACAAGACACCTGATTCCAAAAAAGTGAGTAGTTATTTTCTACACGAATCTAGGTAACGCTTACACTGTTCTAGTAATTACATGATTAGTTGTAGTTAATAATAAGGCACCTGACTATGAAAAAGTGAGTAGTTATTCTCTATACAAATCTAGGTAACACTTACACTCTTATAGTGATTCCTTAAATCATTGTAGTGAATAAATACAAATGAGGACACAGTTGTCAATTCTTCTTGATTTTATAAACGATAGATTGGGTCATTGATTCTTTCTGTCATTTACACAATTCCAGAACTCAATTTAAAATTTTCTATACTGAGGTTTTTTTTTTGAGATTTTTCCATTTATTATTGTCTACTTTTTACTTATTAATAAATTTTAAGACGATTAAATTCTTTTTTTTTTTAACTTGGAAGCTGATTTTGGGACGTGTTCGTTCCTTGTCTTTCTTCGTTCTCCGGTAGTTTCCCTGCTTCGCGTTCTCTTGCACAAAGCCCTAAGCACCAAACCTCCTTCGTCGTGAATCATATGCTGATTTGCATCTCGGATTGGAAACTTCACCGTTGATTTCATGATTCAAGGAAAATACGCATAATAGTTTTCTCCAAGTGTGTAGATTTCTTTTCAAATGACTACTTCGAAGAGAAATTACAAGGAGAAAGCTCTCCGTCGCAAGTAAGTTACATTCAATTTGCTTTGAACCTTTTTTTAACCATAATTTGCTTATGAATCACTTGGGTTCTGCTTGATTTCATGGGACACTTTCCAGTACAAGGATGTTTCCCGTTAGATGGTTAATGTCAGGGTATTAGACTGTAGCTACCATGAGGGACCTCTAGCTAGGTACTTTTTTCTTGTTTTTATTCGAAACAGAGTGATATTCCAGGCTCCTTCTTAATATGGTCATGATATTATTCCCATGTCAATTGAGCACCGCTGTAATAGGAGCTTCTTTCAACGCGGTTTGTTTTGACGGCAATTGGTTCCGGAAGTGACCATGACAAAATTGCAACGACAAATGAGCACATATTTATTCAATTGCATGTTTACTTTTTATTTATTAATTAAGGCGGTAAAACGAAGCGTAGATATATTTGTTTTGAACGGAAGGATACAGGGATATTTGAATGGTATATGATAATTGTATGGTTTTGATGTTGGAAATGTCACAGGGAAGAGAAACTCGAGGAGCCAGAACCGCCTAAATATAGAGACCGAGCCAAAGAGCGAAGAGAAGACCAAAATCCTGACTATGAAACAACTGAGTTGGGACTTCATGCAGTCGCTCCTCCTGGTACTGTAGATCTACGGTAAGGTCTCTACCATTATCTATAGTATATATGATAATTGATGTTACTGTCTTTCTAGTTTGGGTCCCCTCCCCTCTTCTCTGACAACCTTACCACTTTTTGTAGGTCAGCTGATGCACACAAGTTATCCATTGAGAAGAGCAAGTACCTTGGAGGTTTGTAGTTTACTACTGTCTTAGAGCTCCCCTCCCAACCAAAATAAAATCAGAATTGCTTAGATTCATCAGAAAAGAAGACAATCTAAAGTTCTTTTCCTCCCACTTCAGCTAATTAGTATTACTAAGCTTTTGACACCATGACAGGCGCATGAGATTTGTTAGTTGCTAAAATAGAGTTTTGAGTAGATCTCGGACTCATGGGAATCCTGCATGTTGGGTTTTTTGAATTATTATGATGATATCGCTAGCCTGGCTTTGGATGAGTCAAGAATAAAGTGAATGGTTCTTAATGTAGCCTGGCTATGGATAACCTTCATTATATATGCTATTATATTAACTGAGGAGGATTTGGATTTTGCTTTATTGATATTTGTCAGGTGATGTGGAGCACACTCATCTGGTTAAAGGTCTAGATTATGCTTTGCTGAATAAAGTTAGAAGTGAGATTGATAAGAAGCCAGAGACAGGGGACGATGTTGATGGAAAACCTAGGTAATTTGTGTGGCCAGAATTGTCAGTTATGGTTATTTTCTTTTTTTGCTAATAATTAATTGCATAGGTATGGTTGATTTTTCATCTCCATGTATTAAATTTTGATACATGACTTTGATTTGCTGACAGAGCATCAAAGGAAGATCAACAAGTGTCAATTCGCACATCAACTGCAAAGGTTTCCTCGCCTTCCTTTTCGTATGAAAAAGAATACTTTTATGTAGTAATATTTTATATTTGAGCTTAGCAAGCTCATGTTGATTACCTTCATCTTTTCAGTCTGTTTATCGGTGGATAGTCAAACCCCAGACTATCTTGAAAACAAATGAGATGTTTCTTCCTGGTCGGATGTCTTTTATTTTTAATATGGTGAGAATTTCCATTTCCCTGATATTTTTCTGGTTTTGTTGGAATTTCATGACTGTTACCCATCTTCAATTATTTTTCAACCCTCGCTTATACATGCCGTTATTTGCTTATACTTTAGTATAACTTGAGCCAAGCTGCATGTGTGCACTTCAGCATGCCTGCCTTGATAAACATGCACTTGGCAGTCCACTGATCTCCTTGCATGTGACTTAGGCTTGCTTTTTTCTTGCCTTGCACAGAATAGCTTCTGATCTGTGCATTAGAAGCCAGTATATCATACTTATCATGTAGCTGTCGTTTATTGTTTGAGTATGTTGATCATTGGTAATCTCTTTATACAAACATCTGCCTTCCTTGTGCTCGTGCACCTTGCTTTGCTAATACTGTAATTTGTCCAATGCGCATCATCATCTTGCACATTAGTTATTCAATGTGTCAGGACTGTAGCTAGTCCTGCATGTTGCATGCTGCAACATTTTGATTTTGGACCTCTATAAAGTATGTGAGGTTTGATAATGCTCAAAATAATTAAGCAACATTGTTATGTTCATAGAACTGGCATATTAAGAATAGGGTAGTAATTTTGGAAGTTCATGTGTAAAACTCATCTTCAGACAGGCTGAAATAGTTATGATCCTTCTATAACCTCATTTTCCATTTTCTAGGAGACACTTTCTTGACTTAATGTCCTTTTTGGTTTGTCAGGAGGGTGGATATTATCATGATATTCCAACTACCTTGCACCGGAGTAAAGCTGACTGTCCAGTGCCAGAGGTTTATGATCTTGCTGAGTTCTTGACGACATTTGTTCTTTCAGTTGGCTAACTTTTCTAACACATGTCGTTTTATGTACTTTGCTTTTATTTTGCACAGGAAATGGTTACAGTTAATGTTGACGGATCTGTCCTAGATAGGATTGCTAAAATTATGTCATATCTTCGTCTTGGCTCTTCTGGGAAGGTTCTAAAGAAGAAAAAGAAGGAAAAAGATGTGAAAGGTAACTAATGCGGTTAGCAGATCATCTGGGAGCTTTGGACATTATCTTCTAGATGCTTGATTATGTTGAATATTTATATTTTCAAGTGTTGTTGAATGAATCATAAAACAGATTATACCTTGCTGCTTTCGTAAAGAATGATGATCTTTGTTTATTTTTTGTATAACCTTGATGGAGTTTTTAAATTATGATTGGTTTTTGCCTCTATCTTTTTTTTTTTCCCCCCTGAACAGGAAAGAGTTTGGCTGCCGGTAATGGATATGATGAAGAGGATAAGCCATCAAAGGTTGAAGGTGGGGGAGGGAGGAATCAAACTGAAAGAGAATTTGTCCCGCCACCACCTCCTCCTTTCAAAAAGAGTTCTCTTAATTCAAGAGAGAAACAAGGCCCAGCTGTTGCAAGAGCAGAAGAGGATGACATTTTTGTCGGAGATGGTGTTGACTATGATGTTCCTGGTAAAGAGTTGAGCCAAAGCCCTCTTTCAGAGGACATGGAAGAATCTCCTAGGAACAAGGAAAAACCCTCATATTTCGCTGAACCTACTTATGGTCCCGTCCCGCCCTCTGTTGTGCCACAAGGATGGCAAGAAGCAGTAAGTTGGTCCTCCTGATGGTTTATTTTTAATTGTTACTTGAATTGCTATCTGATGCACCATTTATTTTTTTTCCCCATTTCCTCGTGCATCTCTTATTTTATTATTAATTACTACCTCTGGTCCTTAATATAAGACCCCGTTTGACTTTTTGTTTGGTCCTAATTATAAGACCCCAATCTATTTTGTCTTTTATATTTATACATTTTTTTTCAAGATAGTCCTTCTAATAATAATAGTTCTTGCTAATACACTTAATTAGTAAGGATATTTTAGGAATGACAACACTTATTTATTACAAATAACTAACATAACTTACTTCCTTAATCTCCTTAAATAAGTCAACCGGGTCTTATAATTAGGACCGGAGGTAGTAGTAATTAATATAACATAACATATTGTATCATTTCCCATTTTCTACATCTTATTATATCTTAAAAAAGAGATGTACAAAGAATGCAAAAAAAAAAAAGGTGTGCACCAAATCCATTCCTGTTGTACATTCATCCCCTTCCTGGATTTTCAAGGTGAACTCAGAACTTGTATAAAATTAGTACTCCATTTATATAATTTGCTTCTTTGTATTATATCTGTTGATCTATTGAGTTTCTCTATCCTCTTTGATTTGATTATGCAGTCTCAGAATGGGTATGATGTAATGCAAGCGCAAGCCTTGGCTAGTGGCTACCAAGGAGAGTGGCAGGATTACCAGTATGCAGAACAGCTGGCTTACCCGGACCAATATCTTCAGGCAAATATGCAGGTTTATGATTTGCAAACAGGTTTAAATATTCCCCAAGACCCACGCTTCATGACTCAAGAAGAGAAGGATCGAGGTTTAGGATCAGTTTTCAAGAGAGATGATCAGAGACTTCAACAGTTGAGGGAGAAAGATGCTCGTGAAAAAGATCCCAACTTCATCTCTGAGAGTTATTCTGAATGTTACCCAGGATATCAAGAGTACAACCGGGAGATAGTGGACAGTGATGATGAAGATGACCTGTCCAAAATGGACATGGGCGGAAGGGTAAGTATTATCTTACGGTATAATTTATTTTGTTTATGAGGACACAGTCTCATTTGCTTTTATGTGGTTTTTTAGTGGGGTATAAGTATGATGTCCTGATTTCAGATTCTCGGTGAAGTAGTGTATAAAAATAAGGCAAAGGTTCACCTCTAGTGTCTGAAATTTCATTGAGGTTGGTCTCAAATTTATTGTGGTCCAATATAGTCCTCGATTTTTTTCAAAGGTCTTAATACCATTCATTTCCTAATGTCATCGAGTGTCAAATAACATCAGAATCAAATTCAAATCAGGCCTGCGTTACATTGTTTTGCTTCTTCCAATCATTTTACTGTCCAAAAATCCACCCCATCATCAACCCAAGAGAAGCGAAATGATGTAGATCAGATATGGTTTACCACATCAGCGGTTTATTTAATTGGTGATGCTCCCTTGGATACTTTTCATCAGTAGAGTTAATGGTGTCTGAGAAAGTTAAAATTGAACTTTTCTGGAACTTCGAGGACTGTATTGGAACCAACAGAGAAAGAAGTTCTAGGACCAAAAGAAACGTGTATGATATTTCAGGACTAGAGGGGGGTTTTCGTCTGAAAACAAGTAGGCTTAATTGCAATTTGTTGTCTGTGGATTCCCTATAGGTGCAAATCCCCCATCTCCCCCCCCCCCCCAAAAAAAAGGAAAAAAAATCCCGAAACACATGCACACACAAAGACGATGTCCCTTTTAATGGTTATCTGATTACAAAGTAATATAAATATTTCTGTCACTTAACTTTTTTAAGCAGATTTTGACGAGTGGCATGAGTACTCTAACATGGAACTTATGTAGCCAACAGAAACTCAATCTTTAGTGACCTCATGCAATAAATGATGAGAAATGAAAATCGTGAGCTCATCAAAGGAGTGAAGGATTTCTGTTGGCCACATCAGCACCATCTCAGCATAGTCATGTGCCATATCATCAAAATGTGTCACAAAACCGAAGAACTTTTTGTCGTTTGGATTACTTTTGCATTTTGAAAATGAGGTTGAAATTGTTGGTTTGAAAAAAAAAAGTGATACAATGGCACCTGTGCTGGAACTACAAGCAGTAAGTGTATATAAGTAGGCCAAAGAAATAAAAATGTTTGTTGTGTACCGGATATTCTTTTATTCTCAATATATGCTTTGTAACTGAGCCGCATGGTGATAGTCACAAATCTGAAATTTCCACTTAATAGGCCAAGGGTCGTCTTCATAGATGGGACTTTGAAACAGAAGAGGAATGGGCTACTTACAATGAGCAGAAGGAAGCAATGCCAAAGGCTGCATTCCAGTTTGGTGTGAAGATGCAAGACGGTCGGAAGACACGAAAGCAAAACAAGGACCAAAAGCTTAATAACGAGCTGCATAAAATCAATAAGATACTTGCCAGGAAGAAGATGGAAAAGGAGGCAAATGGTGAGGCTGGCCACCATTTTGATGACGAGATTCAGCCTGGAAAGAAGCTCCGAATATGAGTCTTGTTTCATAAACGCATTGTAACATTCATAGAATGAGATGGCCATTTCTGCCTGAAGATGGTGAATTTGTGATGCCATTATCTGGAAGTCTTATTCATGTATTGTTTTTAATCTCTTGTTTCCTTCTTACTCTACCCTCTGAAGTTCCGATTTTGATGAACCTAGTTTTGCTGAATGACTTGATGCGCTTTAGGCTTTTCTCTGCAAGTGCCGACTGCTGACTGATGGACAAGGGAAGCAGGCGTGGCTAGTGTGTGTGTGTGTGTTTTTTTTTTTTTTGGGTGGGAAAACCAAGTCTCGGGAACAAAAGAAATCCCTGACGAAAGGATAATGATGACGTGGGTACAATGTTTGATTAGGTAATATATTCCGTTCTTGTCATTAAGTAAGAATTTTGTACAGTTTATCAATAACAATGTTAAATGGAAGCTGAGAAGTTATTAATATGTATGCACGGATATGTTAATTACTAGCTATAACAATAAAAAACTATTATTATGTCATTGTCATCATCGTAAAGACTTAAAATCAAGTCAAAATAAATAGCAAAGAAAAGTTCAAAATATATTTTATAATGTCAGTAACTTATTTATTCAATTTAATTTTATAATGTCAATCGCTTATTTATTCAATTTAATTTTGACACCAAAGTTACTGCGTACTAATGGTTAGCCTTTGGTGGGGTGGGTTTTCTCCCCGTGGGCAAGGGTTGTGTGCGAGTAATTTGTCCTTGCGAAAAAAACTGCACAAGAAGGGGTTTTTTTGTATTTTATTGATATTAATAATAATCGGGTAATCAACATATACAGGTTATACAAACTTGATATTATTAATTTAAAGGATTAAGGTGCGCCCAGCACCCCGAACTATTTTTCCAGGTGCACCCAGTGTTCTAAAATAATTTTTGGTGCATCCAGTGTCCCAAACTAATTAAAACGGTGCATCCATATCTCGGGCTAACAGAAAAGTTAAGTTTGACCGTTATTTGCTGACTCAGTCGAAGGTTGACGGACGTGGTGGACACGTAGGCGTCTGATGTGTATTATTTTGACGAGCCAAGGTGTGCCAAGCACCCCGAACTATTTTTCCAGGTGCTCCCAGTGTCCTAAAGTAATTTTTTATGTATCTAGTGTCCCAAACTAATTAAAACAGTATGTCCACATCCCAGGCTAACAGAAAAGTCTCGTTTGATCGTTACCTTACTGACTCAGCTGAAGATTGACAGAAAAATCCTACATGACGAACACACAGATGTCTGATGTGTATTATTTCTACTAAAGCTCCCAAGACGAGCCCGGTAGCAGCGGGTGTTTTTTCGGAAGGCGACAGCGATGTCAACGAAGTGACTAGGGGAAAGTTCACTGTGTTCTAAGAGGAGGAAAACAAACACGAGTCGGATGAGGAGTTGATAGAGACGGAGATGGAAGTGTGTGGTGGAAGAAATGAAATAAAATCTTAAAGACGAGGATGGGATTGAATGGGTGGTACATCTACTAAGATTTAAGAGGGTGGATCGGTGCTTTCTTTTTTTTAAGTTTTAAAATTGGCAGAAGATAAATGTTAGAAGAGGAGGAAATAAATTGAATTTTCAGTCAAAATAATACACATCAGATGTCTGTGTGTCAGCCATCTAGGATTTTTGGGTCAACCTTCAGCTGAGTTAGTAAGGTAACGGTCAAACGAGATTTTTCTGTTAGCTTGGGATGTGGACGTACCGTTTTAATTAGTTTGAGACACTATATACACAAAAAAATTACTTTAGGATACTGGGCGCACCTGAAAAAATAGTTCGGGGTACTGGGCGCACCTAAAAAAATAGTTCGAGGTGCTAAGCGCACCTTGGCTCGTCAAAATAATACACATTAGATGCCTACGTATCCGTCACGTCAGTCAACCTTCTGCTGAGTTAGCAAATAACGGTCAAACTTAACTTTTCTGTTAGTCCGGGATATAGATGCACTGTTTTAATTAGTTTGGGACACTGGATGCACCGAAAATTACTTTAGGACACTAGGTGCACCTGGGAAAATAGTTCGGGGTGTTGGGCGCACCTTAACCTTAATTTAAATACACATCATATTAAATGCTACCTTGGATCTTAATTATAAGATTTCGTTTGTGTCTGTAAATGAGCTCTTATAAATAAAAGCGGAAGTAGTATATAAAAATATCACTAATTATTGTCAATTATGAACAATATAATTTGTTTTAGACTTTGTGCAAGACGCATAATGTTTTTGAAAAAGCAAGATCTATGGAACCCAAAAAAAAAACAGCATGATCTACGGATCGTTTTATCATTGAATAGTAAAGGAAAAGAAAACTGCACTTTTTTTTTGTAAAAAAAAAACGATCTTGTCAGGGAACACGGAAGGTGCCAAGGGCCTACGGTGTCGTTTATGCTAAGGCGATTTCAGAAATCAGAACCATTCGGTTGGCTCCCTGGTCTCGGCGTTAACTTGTTCAATATTCCAAGATACTCCCCAGATTTCCAAGCAATCTCGGCTTGTAGGCTTCTTCATCCTTCATCTCCATTCTGCTTTTTGGCTTGGCGCAACCCGATTTAGAATTGCTTTGACTGAATAATTCTCCTGAAAATTTCGTCTACGAAGGTTATTTTCGTTCCTTGATTTCCTTGTTCATGCTTTAATTCTTCTCTGGGTTATTCATTAAAAACCCTAATTCCTTGACTTTGCGAACTTCTCTTTTTACGGTATATGCATGCTCTCTGTTATGTAATCCTAATGAATGCCTTTCTGTATGAAAATGAGGTCAAGTATTATTTTCTGTTTTGATTGTTATTGGAAATTGCTAGTGTCTATTTCTTTGGATGTTATATGTATTATACTGTTCAAAAGCTTTTATTTAAATTTAATTTATGTGGTAGTTGTTTTCTCTGGCTATGCTCTATGATTCTATCTCTTGTATTTTCGACGGAGATTGTAACTTGCTAATTCAAGTTGCAGTTCTGTATCTTCTTGTTGATTGGTATCTTATATATGCAGTCTAGTCGATGACAGCCTCCGAAGGTAAAGTTACGTACTCCTCACTATCGAATGTAGAAAAGGGGAGCTCTCAATTCTACTATGATGGCAATAATCACTATGTTGAGTCCACTTGGAATGCGCCAAAATCTGGTACGAGCAGCTCTAAGTCTTCCAGGCAAGAGTATCTTTACCAGTTCCCCTCTGAAAGCGAGGATTTATATGATGGAGGTTATGAATCAAGTGATGATCCTTGTAGTATTGAACGCCCTAACATGCCTCCAGAGGTGAACCTGAAGAATGTGCTTGGTGGGATCATTGCTATTTTGACTGGACGAAATAGAGGTCCAAGTATCACCTCAAATGAGCAATTCTCAATTTCAAATGTCTCGTTTCTTGGCTCTGGAAAGAATGGAGATACTGTGCTGCACTCTTCAGTCTACACGCCAAGTGCACCACCTCTTTTTGAGCCAAATGGGATTAATTATAGTGCCTACAAAGAGGTGTTGGAAGCTGAACCCCCTGAGTGGCTCCCAGATAGTTCTGCTACTGTTTGTATGCAATGTACTGCTCCATTTACTGCACTTACTCGCGGCAGACATCATTGCCGGTTTTGTGGGGGTATTTTCTGTCGAAATTGTTCAAAGGGGCGGTGTTTATTACCAGTTAAGTTTAGGGAAAGGAATCCACAGAGGGTGTGCGATGCCTGCTATGACAGGCTTGATCCTTTACAGGGTGTTCTTGTCAACAGCATTAGCAACGCTGTGCAGGTAGCAAAGCATGATGTGATGGACTGGACTTGTGCTAGAGGGTGGCTCAATCTCCCTATTGGTTTGTCTATGGAGCATGATATATATAAAGCATCAAATGCATTGAGAAGCTACTGTCAGGTTTGTTTTTTATGCGAATTTATTTTGCATTAAGCAAGTAATTATGAACAATTTTGTAGTTTTTTTTTGTGTGGTTATTTTACTGTTATTTTGGACTATTTTTCCGGATTGTTTTTATATACCTGACCTTTTTCAAGTTTTTTTTCCCCCCTTTAGTGTATTTCCTTGTTATGTAAATCATTTTGTTATCCTGAAATGGACAGGTAGCAAGATCTAATCCTGAGAGGTCTATTCCCTTGGCCATTCTTAGAGAAGCCAAGGGCTTAGCAATTTTAACTGTTGCCAAAGCTGGTGCATTGCTCTCTTACAAACTTGGCACTGGTCTTGTTGTTGCTCGGAGATCAGATGGATCCTGGTCTGCACCATCAGCCATATTCTCCTTGGGTTTAGGATGGGGTGCTCAGGTGATGAAATATTGCGTATTTAATGATTTGCTGGTTTACAGTTATGTCTTTACATATGTGTTCACCAATCTGACTTAACGGAAGATAGAGGATTCATATAGAAAGATGGAGGTGGAGCCATGAAATCTGCGTGTTTAAGAGTTGTGTTATGAAAAGTAAAGAAAGAGGAGAGAGAAAGAGGAGAGAGAAAGGAAAAGGAGTAATAGAAATAGAGAAGAGTAGAGGATCAAGAGAAATTGAATAATTTCTAACCACATTGCAAAAATCTGAGTTACAAAGAATGGCTAATACTTATTTATAAGCAAAAGCCCTAATAGATATAAATCTAAGTAAAAATCCTAATATCATCTAAATATTGTCTAGATATCCTAATCTATCCAAATCCTACTAATATAATTAAATATTATGTAAATCCTAATAATATTTATTTAAACCCTATTTATATCATATTTAAGTATTTTCTTATTTATAATTATAATCACATAACAAGTTGCTTGTTTCGCAGTATGCTTAGATGTTAATCTTTATTTTGGAATTCTTTTTGGCATTCCTCTCTTGCATTGGTAGTAAGAATTTATTCTCTCTTTGTAATTCTAGGGAAACATCACCCTTTCACTAGGAAATCAATAGATTAATGTGTAACTCTCTCAGGTACAAGTGGGTCTTGATGTGGTCTCGATTTTATTTCTCACTGATGAATCTATGCTTATCCTGTATATCCAGATTGGTGGTGAACTCATGGATTTTATAATTGTGCTTCATGATATGAAAGCCGTGAAGACATTCTGCAGTCGCATGCACTTTTCTTTTGGTGCTGGTTGCAGTGCTGCTGCAGGGCCTCTTGGAAGGGTGCTTGAAGCAGATATTCGTGCTGGCGACAGAGGTTCTGGAATGTGTTACACCTACAGTTGCAGTAAAGGTAGCTTCTTTTGAAATTTTGTTGCCCATGCATGGATCTCATATTGCATGGAAAACGCAGGGCATTTGTGGTTTGTGTTTCATTTGAATGCATGGCATATTTGGGCTGCTTTATGATGTCAATTTGTAAGTTGCTTTCCACTTGATTAAATGATTTCAAAATTAACATAATAGTCAGTCAAGCTTGTAATATAATAACTGGGCTGGTCTCTATGACTCTATGTTCCTATTCATATATGAAGTTCTTATGAAACTAGAATTGCAGAGTAATGTGGATGGTATGTTTTCTTAGAGGTTTATTAGAAACATTGTTCGGTCTTAATTTCAGTAGAAAGTGTTTGATTTTTCTAAACCTTCAAGTATTTCTTTGTTACAAATGGTCCAGTACTTTTACCTTGTTATTTCTAAATTTCAAAACACAACGTGGTCTCCTTGATCGTATGTGCTATATTCTTTATCTTATTTTTCCTTGGTAAGGGGGATTTGGAAAGGGCTGAGTCCTTCAGTTCAGTACAGGCTACTGTTTAATCTTCGAGATTACTTAACGAGGATGTGGGCAATTGTGGTTTCCTTGCACTTATTCCTTATTTACAAAAGGGGTTGTAGATTTGTTGTTAGACACCATTTATTACCTTAGACAAGTGAGAGCTGGCCCTGATTATATAGGTGATGCAATTGAATTTACTTTTTTGGTTTTGGTCTAGAAACTTGAGCTCTGTGATGTCCGGAAGGTGATATACTTTGTCCGATTAATTTGGAAATTGGAAGAATCCTCCTTCATTTCCACTCCTCCTTCTATTCCTAAATATAAGGTCTATTTGAAAGTTCCAGTTTGGTCCTAAATATTAGGTCTAATTCCCTTTTGCATCCTATATTAATTGTTTCTTTCCATGATATTCCTGTTGATTGTGGCATTCTTATCTCTGCACATTAAATGGGTTTTAAAAAATGTTGCAAAATTGCAAATAACCATCTTAACTATTTGCTTTGGATTTTATATGAATTAGTTAAAAGGATCTTATATTTAGGAATGGAAGAAGTGTATCATTATCTTCTTTTCTGTGCATCTTTTCTATTTTTTTCCTTTTAGGTAGAGTGAAGTTTGAAAGCATGACCAGTGTTTGCTGTAACTGTAGGTGCGTTCGTGGGAGTGTCCTTGGAAGGTAATATTGTGGCAACCAGAATGGAGGCCAACCTGCGCTTTTATGGCGATCCTTATCTCACTACGTCTGATATTCTACTTGGGTTGGTGGCCAGACCGAGGGCAGCTGAACCATTGTACGCCTCTCTTCAAGACTTATATTCCAGTTTGAGTTATTAGGTCTTCTTCCAGTTGCATGCGGCATCAGTCATGCTGTCAACATGTGAATAAGCATCCAAAATTTCTGGCTCCTCTGTATGACGATGTCACATTCATCGAGTCCTGAAGGGCAGTTTCGTTTACTAATTCATTGTTTTTCGTACTTTTATCTATTGCGTCCTTTAGTCATACCGTGAGGCAAGTAACCCTTCTCCCACAAAAGTCCTGGATACATGTATATGTCAGTTGCAAATAATGGTCCCTTTTTTCTCTTTAAAACCCTGTAAAAATGTTCTTGGATTTAGACTGTGCATAGTAAATGGATCTGATTTAAGTTATTTTTCCTGTTCCTTGGATTCCTCGTAAGTATGCAACGAGGCCCACATGGGCAATTGAACGGTGCATGGATCCAAAAAATCTCCTGGCATCTATCATCTTTTCCGTAGGCTTCCGCCACCGAGTACTCCCCATAAATCTCAGGTTCAGAAACAATTGGGAAAATCATTAAAAAAAAAAAAACGTCAAAATGGAAAAATTATAAATAGGGGTTATGTGCAATTTTTCAATTTTCAGGGTTTTTTTAATGATTTTTCTGAAACAATTTATAATTTAAATTTAATTTATATGCCGGTAAAAAAATTACAATACTTTAAAAATAGACTTGAATATTGAAAATCAAATTTAAAATTGGATTGCGTTGTTTTACGTAGCTGTTTTTTCGTTTGCTATCTGCACCCAACCACAAACAAATTTTTATGATTTGAGTCCGGTTAAATACTAGAAGTTTGCTACGCTAGACATGTTCCCATTTTTTTAAGACATTTTCCATTTACTACGCGTGAAAAGTACAATTTTAATCACATCCTATGTATTGTGTGGGACTGCTCGAGTTGAACTCGGTTTAAAAGTTGACATCTTGTAAACTAATGACATTAAACACCTTTGTTAATTCTTTTTTTAAAATGAGATTGTGAATTCAAATCCTCAATAATTAGTTATGCTCAGCGTTTTGTGTGTCAAGGCGCATTTACAAAATTTTAAAAAGGAAAGAGAATCTGGACACACAAGTTATATGAGACGAGAAAGGTTAGTGCACAGTTGGAGGAGGAAATGAACATTTTCGATACGGACAATCCTTTGGATACACTGTAATTGCAACCTACGATCATATGGAGAGATTAAACTCACCCACATCTTCATCAGACATCACATGCAAATGTTTGCGACGCAAACTCAGCCAAACTACTGGGAAGATTGCAACATGAAGATGATGCAAACGAGAACTTGACAACAACTTCACTAAGTAATTATATAAACACTCTTTACATCTAAATAAGTAACTATAAATCAATTTAGTTGAGGAAAAATAATCCTGCTAGAAACCTATTCAAGGATTTCCTTGTTCATGTATTAGTGATGCTGAAGAACTTCAGCTCCCTGTTTGACCATAACAAGGGCAAAATGCAAATGGGTTAACGAGAAGGGAAAAAAAAAAAAATTACATTCGTCAAAACCCACCTCATCAGTTGAGTGTGTGTGAGAGATAAGATTCTCACAGAAAGAGAAGCACTCTTGGCCAGTTAATATCCGTTTGAAGTTTTCTGAGATTTCTTTCTGAAATTTGAAATGCTGCAATGTGGGCAAACGTACTCTAGCCCATCCGTTTTAGCATAGTCCTGCGATTCAACACACATACGTTAAGAATAACTTGTACACAGTTTTTTACTACCTCGATCTCAGCTTGTCTCATCCAGCTATATTTTGCTAAAGGAAACAAGAATGCACAGTGACACTAAAGTTCATTCTGGGCATTGGAATTCACCTAGGTGGAGTTTGATGCGTGGACAACCTGTTTTTCCAAGTATTTGGGAACTTGAAAAGATTTAGATAACTAAAAAACCGGAATTCTTCAGGAGATACATTGATTACAAGTTTTTCATGCCCCTAGCGGTTCACATATCTGGTGAATATATTTCCAAGTACTTGGAAAATTAAAATTTTCATGCATCAAACTTCACCTTAGTTCTTTACTTTCTCCTACCTGAATTTCTCAAATTTGGTTAATCCTTCTCTATATTTGTTTCACTGTCATTCAAGAGGAACAAATACAGTTGCTGATATTCTTTAAAGAACCGAAAAATCAAAAGCCACCCAAACAATAGCATTTCCTAGAGTTTTAGGGAGAGGCTACAATTCTGCTCTTACTTAAGTGATCATGTCAAATTAATAGTGATATGGAAAATAGGACCATGAAAATCTTGCTCTCCAAAGGGACTTACACATGCAATTCATTTCTCAAATTTAGCATCCACTTAAAAGTCAAATTCTAGTGATACCTTAAATGCACCAAGTCCTTGACGCCTATCACAGCCAAAGTGAGCCCACTCACCGCATATCCCGCAATTCACCCAATCACCAGCTGCGCTACTGTTGCCCCAAACCAAACGTAATTGATAGTCAATCAGACCGAATTTAGTGAAAATAAATTTAAAGATTAATTTAATTTTTCAATATCTAATTATTAACAAGAGCAAGAAAGACCTGCGGCACAACAAGCAGCACTCTCCATCCACGTCATCATGAGCTAGTTCATACTCCAGAAGATAAGTTTCATAATGTCTTTTAAGTGTATTGCCAACACCCTGAAAGCAAAAGGAAAATAGTTAATTTCTCCAAGATTTCACTGTATGTGGGATCCAAGAAATACCAAGCAATAGTAAGCAAAGAAGATGCCATACAAAATACAACCAATACCAGAATGTTGCCTTCCTCAATTTGTGCATAAAGCTCGGATAAACAACAAGGAAGGATTTTCTTGCAAGTAGTTGTCTTATTTTTCATTTTATGAAGATATATGCAATAAACATAGCTATTCTCATACTAAATGTTGGGCTCAGAAGGCACTGAAGCAAACATAAATTCCTCATGATGGATGGATCAACGGATCATGCAATATAGCTTCCCCTCTAGGAGATAGTTCAAGGAGCATATGATTGTCTGATATACTATATCAGCATTCACTGATATACAGGGGCGTGTCTAATATAAATAATGGCATTTAATGGAACTCCACTAATAGTTGCACCTGAGGAGTTATTAATCACCAAATAATTTACTTCCCAGAAGTCAGCTTTTCTTTCTCCCAGTGGAAATTAATAAATTAGAACTAAAGAAGAAGAAAGCAGCTTCCAGCAACTGTTCCACATACTGCATTGCAGTTGCCAAGTAAGATAAATATCTGAATGCTTCATATGAAGAAAGAGATAACAGATACTACGTTTGAGACTGCATTATTCGCAAGCAAAAGTGTAAAGACTGAACAATAAAGCAGTGTGGCGTTCCCCCAAGAGAATTGCACATGTGAGGAGGGAAGTTTCAACAAAATTCTAGGACAATTTCTAGAAAATGATCTATGCAAGAATCTGAGGACAATTTCTCACAAAGAACCAGAGATTTGGGGGGGGGGGGGAACAGAGATATATGGTTGCATACTGTCATTCTATTTGTTAAAGTGTGATTCCGCATCTTTGAGAAAACTTGTCCTTTCCAATTGATGCCATTCCCAACATGAAACCCTCCTCTCGATACCACCTGAAATATATAGGTTCGTTAAAATAACTTCCTTCGGTTTCCATGCAGTTAGCTTAACCAAATCAAATGGTTTACCTCTCTGTACAAGTTAAAAAGATCGAGGCGTTTAGCATTCAGAATGGCTTCAGGGAATTCAGAAAGACCACCTGGCGGAATTAGCCGAGAATGCCCACGAAGGATAAGAAACTGCATGACATCTCTCAAGAATTCCTCCTGCCAGAAAGTGCATCACAGTAAGAAGAAAATAGCTAATATATAGAATTCTTGACTGGGAAATAAATTGCATCAAGCACATGATAATATCTCACATTGGGTGTTGGGATAAGGATAGCAAAACAAATGAAGCAAAGGTTAAAAAAGATGAAGCGGAAACTGAACAACTTACCTCTGAACAGGTCCGTATTGGAGCTCTGTCACAACCATGCTTCTTCATGGGTAGTGGATTTAATGTAACGATCTGCTGAGCCTGAAAGGAAGTTGAAGATTTCCTATTTGTGACTGGATTAGAGCCTGCACCATGGTGCTTCGTTAGAGCCATCGGCAGATTTGATTTTGCACGTTCTCCATCAAGCCTTTCCCGCTCAGATAATCCAGAAAAAGGTTGAATCTTCTGACAATTTGAGTGAGGGATTGGCCTCATTGCAGCAATGTTCAATTTCTTTCTATTGTTACCACTATCACTGACTTGAAGGCTACAAGAATTGACGGACTTTATTCCAGAGAAAGGCCCTGATCTTTTTTGAGTAGGCGGCGGAGGAATCAGCCAACTAGGATGCTCATAAGAAATGGAGTCATTAAGGCAATTTTTTTCCGACTGCCTTGAACAAAAGTAAAGGAGACGTTCAGCATCAAGTTTCCTAAATGATGCAACAGGCAATCCTTGAATACTGGCTACTCCCAGCATAACTAGGCTGCGGTATGACACTTCTGGTGCAACCTGTCTCAGAACCTGAGAAAAAATTTCAAGAAGCTCTAGGTCAAAAGATAATATCCCGTATCAAAGAAACTCCATCCAAGATCATGTTAACATAATTAAGCTAGCTGAGAGGGTCAAACCAATTTAACGTACAGGTTGTTTTTCACCATGCTATGGTAATACAATGTTATAACAAGGCAACATATATATAAAAGAAAATCGTATCAAGAGAAATGAAAGTAATAAAAGAGGAGGAAAAGGGATCAAAGCACCAGCATGCTTAAATGAAATAAAATAGAGAAATCTTATCATACAATAATTCCTTTTGGCTATAACTTTGTTTTAGCTGATCTCAATATCAGTGTTTTTTTTATGGATTGCTATTTCAAGTATTGCTCCCATTGGACTTTTTATGTCAGGATATGAGTCAAATAATAAATATTCATTTTGGGTAGTCTACGGGCTGCTATTAGTTAGATTGAATAGCTAATTGGCTTTCTTTTTTATTATTTATTTTTCTATTTATAAATTCTAAATAGAAAATCCATTTAGAATAAAAATAAATATTAAATTAAATCTAAAAATATTATCTATTAAAATTAAATTCAAAATTCTAATACGTAAATATAAAATTAATAATATAAATTAAATAAATAATATTCTATTCATTATATTCATATTCCATTTTATTCAAAAAGAATATTATAATTAAATATTCTAATAAAATGAAATAGAAATATTAATATTTAGAAAATTTTAAATATTTATAATTAGCAGGATTCTCTTATGTCATTACTTATGCACCAGTTATCGAAATGGATTTACTTTTGCATTGAACAACACAAACCATTAACTAAATTCCTGCTGAACACAGTGTAAGACTAGACATTAATTTTCTGGTAAGTACACCGCACGTGTTCTAGAAAATAATTCCCTAAGTTGAACAAAATAATGCATAAATATCCATTATGAGTGCGGGTGCAAAACTATAAGCAAACAGAAGAAGCCTTGAGAGACTAACCAGTGAAGCCCACGTAGGAACCTGCATGCAAACTTCAAATACACTAGCCCCACAAGCTATTGAGACTGACCGTCGAGGCTCAGAGGAAGGTAAGTCGCTTTCTTCACAATTAGTTGATGCTTGAACAAGTTGACTCTTCTCAATCAGCTCCTTTTTTATGTAATTCTCCAAAAGCTGAGTAGAAAGGAGGAAAAAAATGTCGGCCGGTAAGTAAAAATACAAAGAACCCATATACGGAAGATCAAATCCTGACAAAATTGTTCACCCTTGCCTGATCATTAAAGCATGTATCTGCACTACCAGACACCAAGAGTGATATATGAGCCGAACTACATGTGGATATATCGCAACGCATGGTTACCACACCACGTGAGAATGTCCCTGCCTGAAGAGGAGGTGGTGGGGCACTATAAAATATACAATAAAAAGAGAAATCAACAAATAGAATAAACTACAAAGTAAAACATAAATAAATAACTCATGAAACATCCAAACAAAATATTATAAAACTTCAATAATTAAGTGTACATGTGGATCACCAAACATATACCAGTCACCCAAGGATCATCCACTCAATATTATAAGAAGCATGTGCTTGTTATATATCAACTACAAAAACCATGAAGTTACCTTGTCCGGTTGTGAAGTTTACATCCCCGTATCTGCAGAAAAGCCATAAAGGGAAAACATAAAAATCAACTAATCCAATTAGAAGAAAATCCCCAATTCCAATACACTAAAATACGCAGACACTGACTTGATGCCAAAAATAGCATATCGTAAATTAAACAGTTGAATTGCTGAAGCTATTTACTTTTAAGCAGGAGATCCATTATGTAATATGCTAATTATGTTGCAACATGTCTCAGCACTTCCACTTGATAATTACGTTGAATTCAATCATAAGAGAAATTTGGTCTCATTGAAGATCAAGAATGGAGGTAAATCAGTTCTAAAATGGTGCATGCATATCTAGAGTAATAAATAAAAAACTAGATTTATGTTGATTGCAGAGTCAAAATGGTGGAATGGATGATGCAACATGGACTTTACTATGTTCTTCAAAAATGACAACATCACTCCACATTTTAGCTTATATTATCGTCAAAGTGGAATTTGATTTGACACTTCTGATTAAGGGAAAGCCTGTACAAATTAGACCCTATCTCTTTCATACATCAAACTATATGAGAAGTTACATTGCCAACGGAAAAACAATGTGATCTAGAATCCACAGAGGAAGAAAATGCTAACCAACCTATGCAAAAGAACTTACTTCTGTACGTAGGAGAGCATTGAGACCGTCCTCCAATGATTCCAGTAAGCAAGCATCCTTTTTTGCAGAGGGTAGAAGAGAAGAAAGGGAAAACAGTTAGTGATACGTAAACAAATGTGAAGTATTACTGCAAGCAAATTCATCAAAAGGAGAAAATTAATTGACCTACCAGCATGCAGGGAACTCCGCACACAAGAAATCTCATGTTCACATCATCATCATAAATCCTCAGAGCAGAAATAGTCTCAGGTGAGTTTTCTTCCCCATTCGTGTCTGCTTCAAATGGAGCAATATCAATGTTAGGAGGGTCACCAAACATTCGTGGCCCAAGCTTGCTTCTGCTCTTCATGCCGTTTGAAGGTGAGACATTGTTTTGTAAACAGTATAATTTGAAAGAAGCAAGAGCAAGCTGGAAAGCATCCCATGTGTGGCTGGAGGTACTGCAAAGCATAATATCAACTGTCAGGGAAAAAAACATAAAGTCATATTATACAGTTTAATCAAGTGCTCTTCATCAAGCTTCAAGTAATATGAGAGATAAGAGAAAATGATTTGCACTCAATGGATGAAAGCTCCCACTTGCAGCAAATGGACGCAAATATAGAAAATTTTGTACCATTACATTCCTTATGACATTGTTTCACGGTTTGAGACCAAAATCCATCAGTTAAAGAAAAAAGAAAAAAATCTGTGGGCCCAATCATTCATCCACCACCAAGCAGGAATAAACACAGGCACCAGCAAGAAAGAAAATATGACAGCATCCTGGTAGATGACTACCTTTGTGCCACTGAGAAAAAAGCTTGACGAAAATGTGATGCAGCATACTTTGAAAATTCGCTTTTCCAATATATTGTGTAAGGAATTCCCTGCCAAAAAAGATATTATGAATTTAATAACTTTCCATTAGAAGGATGCACGATAATCACACAGCATCTCATCTTTTTAGTCTTCATTAAGCGTCCAAGCATAATGACTATCGCATTAGTTTTTTAAACCTGCATCTTTTATTTTTGTCAAATTCGATTAAAAAATCAGAGAAAATGCTAATTCTTTTTTTCCCATGTCATTGTGACCTTCGAATGGAGAGCCTCTGCCAAATTTTCTCCTTTAGGAGTTTCCAAATAAACCTGCAAAAGCATCATGCAGTAGGGTTATAAAAAATATTGTTAAAGAGAAACTACTAAGGCTGCCATAGGCTCTTTTGACTGTATGATTTGAACCACGGAACTACTAGCTGATATAATCCAGTCTGTTCCAAATAAAGAAGGGGACATGGGTCCATAAGAAAAGGCAAGCCCAAAATTTTAAAGGTAATGCCAGAATTTTTAATTTACTGAAAGGACATTTCATCCGTTAAGCTTGCCCAAATATTATTACAGTCTCTACAACTAAATAATATATCACTAGATTGTGGGTCAGCCCTTTACACAGAGTAAGTGAGCTGCACTATTCATAACTTATGTATGAATAATATGACTTCTTATAAACTTTATATTACATATAGAATAAATATTTATGGCATGTATATTTGTGTATTGTTCATATCAACACGTATATATCATGTCCCCCAATTACTTTTCCGTCGTATTTGCCAATTCTGGAAGTCAAAAGTCAACTTTCGAAGTGGAAGTGAATAATTCATCAAAGAATATGATCTCTCTGAAAATCTTACTCACCCTCTATTACTAACAACGTGCTTACGCTTTTACCAGATGAAACCATAAATTCATGACATAGCTGAAAATGTCTCAGATATAAGTTTAATATGTTCTGTCTAAACATAGTAATACACATATAACCATGTATTCAACGGTAAAATTCAGAAGACGTAGAAATAACAGAAACTGATCTCACAAAAATCTACTTTAAGGTTTTTTTCCTCCACTGCAAGGTGAGCATAGCTGAAAGCAGAACAAAACACTCACTGTATTAGGTAACTTGGAAGAAAATAATCCACATAAGGCTTCTGGGCTAGACAGATCAACATCTTCCCATACTAGGGACCCAATCTGCTCGTTATCTTCTAGCTGTTCGCCTTGCAGGTAAACAAAATTTGGCTCTAATGTTTCAAAAACTCGATGAAGTTCATCAGCAGTTGGTTTGATCAAAACATTAACCTGCATTGACATAAATTGAAAGTATTTGATTAGCTGCAATTTTTATTCAAGCAACAAAAACTGCAAAAGCAGAGCAACTCAATAATCACCTCCAGACGCCCGGATGAAGTAAGTTCCGGAATGGGGTACGGAGATTGATCCTGAAAATCATCCTGTTTCCGCTTTTGTTTATTGTCACAAGAATTTCCACTGAGGATGGCAAGGAGACTAGATTTTTTCACAGGACCCTGAGCATTGAACATCATGTACTCATAGCAGACTTCTCCAAATATTATGAATTAGAAAGTAAAACCAACTCTCACACAAAAGGGGGGGAAAAAATGCTAGAATTAGTGCTGCTCCACCAACTAGCTTATCTCAACCAAAGCCTTGAAAGCACCACCGTATTAATAATTAAATCAAAATTCAAAAGAACCCCCTCCCAACTCCTCGTCAGGATCCCGACTAAACCAAAAGAAACAAACTTGAGAATGAAAAACTCCACCTTTGTTCCATGAAACCTGGAATTGGTGTTAATAAATGTAACGCACACATTGAAATAGAAGAAAATCCGGCGACCAAGATACTAGTGCGGCAAAAAAAGCGACCTAAATAGTCAAAACGAGGTAAAACCCGCCATTACTAGGCGAAAAAGCCAAAAGAAACAGTCCAACCCTAATCGAAACGATGCACAAAGTTGAAAGAGTGAAGAGTCCTATGGGATGGTTATGAGGACAATGAAATCTATATGAAATCGAAACATCAAAAGATCTCGTCGTTCGCTTTCATACACAAATAATGAATCATGGTCAAGCCCTATTTTAATTTTAAAGAAAATCATCCGCAGAAACGAAAATCAATTTATAAGATCTTAAAAAAAAAAGTAATGCTTTGATTAAAAATCATCCGCCTTGTTTGGTTTCGAGAAGACAGAAAAAAAACCGACAGTTTTTACCACAGTCCCGAATGCATTTGAATTCTCTACAACACAACTGATTCGGTCAAAACAATAAATCAACGAATACATTAAAACCATAAACCGTATGTACGACAGTACGAGATTGATTAGCTTTTCGATAAACATTAAACTCCAAACAAATCAGGAAACTCAAAAAAGAACCCAAAAAAATATAGAATTGAGATATTGATGATAACAGAATAAAAGAAATAAATCTCTTTCACACTTGATTCGACTTCTCTTGAAAACATATGATGCCCACGATATTCGGATATTATAATTATTTGTACTCAACAACATCAACATATTACCCTATTACAAAGCAATGGCAACCTTAAACAAGATGGCTTTTCGCTAATTCTAATTCTTTATCCTCTCACTCCCTCTGTTCGTGTCTTTTAGCTCACAGATTATGACTGGGTATTTGTTGGTTTAATCTTGCTTTTTCTATTGCTCCCTTTAAGCACCTAGATTCCGACGCTATAAACCAAAAACAGTATTATCAGAAACAAAATTGAAAAAGGTGATGAACAACGTTTATCCTATCTACGTTAGTAAGCAACGGTAAAGGATCTTCATTGGGTAATGGCGTCGATGAATCAGACTATTAACTAACTTTACACTTGAATTTGCGGGACCCGGTAGCGTCGTTGCCTATGATCTGTCACCTCGAAGAAATGAAGTTTTAATTGATTAATAACATTGGATTAAGAGAGAAAAGCTAAGGAAGCAAAAAGAGGTAACCGGGGTCGGTTCATAGTAGCGCTTCTTGGACCCGACCAGATAGCAGAACGCCAGAATCTGTGAATCAGCTAAGCCTCAAGCATTGGAGGGAACGTGGGCCTTTTCGCGCGTGAAGGTGTAACTGTAAATAACGGATACGATTTTTTTTTTTTGCCCAACATAATAAGTTAATAACTGAAACTTTTTTTTTCGAAATTTTACTTTTACATACATTGGTGTCTTATTTAATTTCAAAATATTAAAAAATTAATTTTTTTAATGTTCTATCAAATACTACAAGAGATAATCAAACTATGTGGCTTATGAATATTCTGGTTATTTAGATTTTATAGTAAAAATTGGTTGTTCGCAAGAAAAAAGTTATTTTCCGTAATTTTACTCTTATATACATATTGATATTTTATTAATTTGGAAAATTAAAAAAAGTGAAGAAAATATGACATTTTTTAATCTTATGTCATAAAAACACGAAAATACATTAAATTATGAACCCATTTTTTAGACCGGATGAGGTGAGAATGTGAGATGCACCAATCTCTGCTTGTAAAAGTGCAGTTTCTATGAATTTTTATGTGAGATATGGATATAAATAACATATATATAAAATGTATGATCATATGATCTCAACATATCAATTAGTGCTGAGAAAATATAAAGGCAAATTATTACTACCTCCTATCCTAATTATAAGACCTCGTTTTCAACAAGATCTTATAATTAGAATCAGAAGCAGTATTTATTTGTAATAGGTCAAAATAAATATAAATAAAATAATTGATAGTTAAATAAATGGTTAGATTTCTACTCAACCATCAATAATTATTGAGTAGGGCTAGAGGGTTAAACTCAGCAAATATAAGGACGACATTTTAAGAAAAGGCAGGGGGAAAAACTCACTTGGGATTGGGAAAAAAGAACGGTCGAGCAGTGTTTTCATTTGCTATCACTATCATTTTTATAATTAGGTCATATAATATTGTGCGGGTTTCCAGCATTCCAAACACACAAATCAATGAACATAGGAAATATTATTTTCGGTCTTAATTATAAGATCTCATTTGTATACTACAAATAAGATCTTATAATTAGAGCAGAAGTAGTACATGAAATCTTTTTTTTTTTTTTTAGAAATCTTATTTTAATATTCCCTCCACAATTTGTTTTTTTTTTGGGGGGGGGGGTAAAGGGCAATCACACGCGTGCGCACCTATATCCACAATCTTCTCTTGTAAGGAAGGAAATTCACACACGACACGCCTACAAAGAGGTATAAGTTATAACTCATCCAAAGATAAAACTCAACCTTCCCTTTTCAAAGAAAATGCTTAGTGCCATTGTGGCACCAGGCCACTGGCTCCTGAATTGAAATTGAAAGTTGCGATCACTTCTTTGTACGGCATACTAGTCCCAAGTGTTGTTTATCATTGGACTAGATTTGCTATTGTGAAAAATGTCTTATTGCTCACCAGTGTGATTTTTCCACAGGATTAAGCAAACATTCAAACCAAATGGCTTTTCCCTAATTCTATTTCTTATCCTAACCTCGCGTCTGTTAACTGCCAGAAAAGCAAAGGAAGCAAAATTGTATAGCCAGGGTAGCCTTATACCTCAAGAACAAGAATGGGGGAGTTAATATAATTATAAAAAAATGATAAACAATACAAAATTGTTTACTAATAGTAATAGACCAGACGCATCCTTAAAATTTTATAAGTATTCGGTCAGATTAAGCATTAACCCTTTATAATTTTCAACAAAAATTTATATCGAACTTTGAATTTAAAATCAAGCCCAAGTCAAGCTGATTCGAGATGGTCAGATCAAGTTGCTTATTTATTTATTTTAATAAAAATTATAAAAACAATCAGTCTTAAAAAATGAATCAATTCAAATCAGCGTGCACTAAAATTTTTTTTTTTCCCAAACCAACAAGGGCTTTCAAAAATACTTGTCCCACACTAACAGTGGGCAATTCCATGTATAGATCTCGAAAGACCACCTCAACACCTTGAGAAAATTTGAACTGAAAAATTCTAATCAACTGCGACTTTTAACCGCTAATCAGATTGGCAGTTCCGACCGCGACGGTAACAAAAAGCCAGTAAAACCCCTTTTAAGGCAAGTATAATGTTGGTTGCTTCATTCCAATATTATCTTAAGGTCCAGAAGATGACGAGAGGAATAAAATGTAAAATGTACAACATAAAACTCACCAATGTAAAAAATGGCACAGATGCTCCGCAGCAAAACCAAAACCCTACTATAACTCGCAAAAAATTCTACAATTTTAACTGGAGATGAATATAGAGACAATACAAAACATAAGTCTTAATGTTCAAGATCATCCAACCCATGCATTAAGTTATTCACCGGCCTCTACAAATAGATCATAGGAGATTGTCAAGCTGAGTTTGCAAATCATGTATGGATATAATATTGATGTCCTGGATCTCTTCATTGGTGTATTCTGACTGCAGCAAGGATCGTATTTGGGCATGGGCTTCTACAATGTTTGTCCTGCAGAGGGGAAATTCTTTTCAGATGGGTAATGTTCTAAATTTGCATAACTAGAAAGCTAGTGACATATTCTGAATCATTTAGATAGCTATCCTACATTTACTTATCCCTCTGGTGCTTAATATAAAACCCATTTAACTAATTTGATTAGATTAAGAAAGTTAAGTAAGTTAGTTAATTATAAGAAAAGTGACACATTTTTACTAAAACACCATAATCATTTTTCTTAATACCTCTTCTCCCTCTTCTACTTGATTATGGTTAAGAGAGTATTCACAAGGGTAATTTAAAGAAAATTGATAAATATAAAAAATAGGTCTTATATTTAGAACCAAAACCAACTCAAGAATTGGGTCCTATATTAAGGACCAGAGGAGTATTATCTTACTTTATTGGTTTGAAAAGAATTGTTCTTGTTGAGGGATTCTGCAGATAAAGCTTCATCTTTGCTATAACCCCTGGCAACTGCTCCTCAATTGCAGTCCTTACCTATTGAGAACAAAAAGCATCTGTTAGAAGACTGGTCGAACCTAGATAACATATATGTTAAACTTGAATCACCAAAAGCAAGTCTCTCTGTATGCACACTGCATAAAAGGAAAGGATTTAAAGCAAAAAAAAAAAAAAAAACAAAGTAACCAAAGTGGTCATAGTAATCAAACGAGTAATAGCAAATGAAAATACAGGCGGAGGTGCCATTAACAAGCACAAAATTAATATAGACCATACAGGGGGTAACGAGCAATATAAATATATAATATAAAGGGGCTAACAAGCAGTATGAATTCTCCATGAGGAATCTTTCAGAATAATATTTTCCTCAGTCAAATAAATAATCGAACTCAGATGAAGTACCTTCTGAATAAGTTCAGCCACCTTATCTGGAGTAGCAAAAGCCTGCTCCTTCAGGGGTTTGGACATAACCGACTCTAGCTTTTGATTCTGACCGCCTGAGGATAATGCAACTTTAACTGCTGTCACCTACACAAACAAAATCGAAAATCTGCTAAGCATATTTTTAAATATAACAAATAAAGACATCACAGAGATTGTAGTAAAACAGTGTTCATAACAAAGAAGACTGAAAAATAGTGAAAGGAGGATATTAGAATACTACATGAATAAAATTGATAAGAGATAACATGCGTAATCAAGACACGAGATGTGCCTCCTGAGAATCGTGAGAATCAAGGCCCAAGAATCAGTTAATTCAAAGTTTTACAAGGGCATTTGCCTGAAAGCCATTGTTCTGATTTCACTTCACTGATTCATAAAGCAACAAATAATTTGTTGACTGAAATACAAACCTTTGTAACAAATGAGAGCAAAGGATCCACGACTTGCTTAGTAATTGACATAATGAACTCCTCACAAGTTGCTTTAAGGGTTTTTTCCAGCTCCTGTAACAAAATGGATGTCAAACGAAACGTGAAATACCACATATTCTATTATTACAGAAGTTGGCCATCGCTGTAAGCAGCAAGTATCCAATTCTTATAATATTATACCACCTATCACTGTATGCAGCGTATCTACATAAGAAATAAACCAATTAATGCTAGTGCCTGAGCAATCCAAGAGACTCCAGTCATGATTATATATGACTCAATCTAAGATCAGTAAAAAAAGCTCAGTGATGAATTTGATTGGCTCTTAAAAAATGGAGAAACTAATTCAAAAGAAGAAGAAAGTGGTTGCTCGTGGCTGCAGTGACATTCAAGCTGAAAAATCTGATGCCAGATCAGCGTGTAGTGAATTAAAAATTAAAACTAAAATCACATATAACTGTTTATGTTTGTTTCTAAATCTTATTCTTAAGGATGCATGCATATGCAGAAAGACAACATAGTTTTTGTGGGGGAATATTAGGTCTATATAATGTGTTTTCTAATCAACAAGTCCCTCATACTAATACAACACTGGCAGTAGCAGAGTGTGACCAGAAGGGTAGTAAGGGGTTTGCTTTACAAGTCATCTGAAGAAATCACATCAACAAGGCCGTGTAACAAACCTTTTTGGTGTCAATTTGACTTTCCAAAACTCTTGGAGACAGAGTCCTAGCCAATGAAGTTGATCTTGACCAGTCGAACAGTGAGGCTTGACCTCTGAGGATCCGTCTTAGATGCTCCTGAGAGATTATTTCATATGCAGTTGTCATAATCAAACTTTCTAACAAATACTAACCCTAACAATTAATGAAGGAATTGCCTATGGATTCCCAGTGAACATTTTGTTTTCCGGGAAAATTATAGTAGCTTACTAAACGACCATTTCCAACTACCTTTCAGTTACTTGACACAGTGCCTAAAAGCCCAATCCTGATTATGAGCATACAAAAATCATGTACTTGATATGCTATTGTTGAAAAACAATAAGCTTGTCATGTTTTAATCGGAGAACCTATTGTATCCCAAAAACCATAAACTTCTCATGTTATTATTTTTTAAAACAAAAAAAAGGCACACTTATCATGATTTAATTGGAGAACATCATGGCAAAGACACAAGTAACTGCACTCAAGTTGTTTCCTTTTTTTCCAAATTATAAATCCCCAAAAAATGTGAACACTTCAAGTATAATTTCTTGATCCAACCATAGTTTGCTTTTTAAACATCAATCATTACGTCTAGTCCAACATCAACTAGCAATACATTACCCCTTAACTATATGTTACCTACATTACATCTTTTTCTGGTTTTAAGAAAAAGGAAATCTAAACAACTTCAAATGCCACAGTAGGATATCAGACTAAGAAAGCAGACATATTGCTCTCAGATTAAGAAGTGCATCATAAAGCTCAGAGACACTAACCAGCAAATGAGAGAAATCAAGTTCCTTGTGTGTGACAGAAAATTCGATATCAAAAGGTGCTATCTGAAAGGCCAGAAGATGATTATTTACAATACAATATGAATGAAAAAATTCATAAGAGAAGAGCATATAACAGGATTACCTGCTCCCTTAAAATTAAAAGATGCTTTATAAGAAAAAGTTGTCCATCCATTGGTGACGATCTCTTTGCAACTAATTTGCTTGCTTTCTATAGGAGACAAAAGGAATGGCCGATTATAAAACAAAGTACAATTGGAACCATCGAGCATGCCAACATATCTTAATCACATCCAAAGTTTCCATGACTAAGAGAAGTTGTGCACTTCTAAAAATATACGATATTGTCCCCTTTACATGGATATCTTAATCACATTATTTAAATATGATCACAATATTCGATCATCTTGATGACATATAACTTACCTGAATAGATGTTGAGCAAACTTCTAATGCTTCCTGATTAGAAAAAATTTAAAGCAAATTGTTAAGAATTTACAAAGGACGTAAACAGAAGACAAGAAGCAATTAAGAGGTAATAAAGCCTCTAGTACCTGTGCCAGACCCGTGAAAACTGCAGACTCCAAACAACGGTACAACTTAGAAAGACATGATATAGTTTTCTCTAGGGGCGGATACCAAGTCTTAAATACATCAGGGTTGTCATCGGCCTACAAGTTCAAACCATATGACAGAAGATCAACAGATGAAGTGATAGACAGATAGAATGTCATGTTTCTACATGCTTGTCAGATTGCTGATTTTTATTGTGTGGGCCTTGTATTCAGCCAAATAAAATTAAATTTGTTTCAAAATTTGTTAGTCGCTACTAAGGGTAAAGAACACTGCAACAAAGCTTATTCCCCTTCCTACATGTGTTGCATGCAGCTTCACATGAACAAATTATCAGAGCGCTATACCAGTCTGAATTCTTAAATAACCTATAGGGAATATGATCAAGTTAGTTATTCTTAGCAAACTAAGTACCTCTGTAACAGCTGCTTTCTAACATCACATACACATTACCACAAAAGCACATGCATGTCAGAGACAAGGATATGAGATATAATTTGAAAAACTCACAACTCTCAATATTTAACTTTCGTTCTCGTCAGAAAATGAGGGACAGAAGGAAGATGGGATAGAGGCAAAACCAAATTATCAATCTCAGCTATCATATTTCAAAGGCTGGTAATTTATTTGTAAGAGTACATAACCATGTCAGTTTCTAGCTCGATAGAATTTATATCCCAAGAGGAAAAAAGGTCAAAAAATCATAAATAGGGATTACCTAATCATGCCTATGCCTCCTAACACCACGGAAACACGACTCAAATAAACTACTATAGCTGTCCCCAAGTTCACAACCTCAAGAAGCAGAGAATTAAGTGAGCACCCATGCATAAATGAAAGTAGTCTAATGAACATTAAACCAGCTAGACCAATAGAAGATACGTCAAGAAATATTTATCTTTAGTAAAAAGAACCAAAGTGGATATTCAATTTAAAATAAAAAATAGATGAGGAAGGCACTTTACAGAATTGGTTTCTGATGTACTCTCAGAAGATAGCTTCAGCTTTTCAGGATAGTCCAAGTCTTCATCAGATGGTATGAAATTTGCTATCTGTAGAAAAAGCCAATAAAAAGAAAAACGGTTTTTAACTTCCAAGGAATCAAAATACTAGGAAGAGCTATTTTAGTTGTCATGACAAACACTTCAAGGGACAAGATATTCTCAGTTAAAAGTTATAAATCAATTTTTGAAAATTTAATCCTAAAATAAAGCCAAATCACTAGCAAGGACACCTGGCTCAAATTCCAATCCTTTTTACAGAGGAATAGTAAGTGGCAAGGCTCCACTTGCTAGCAAAGGGGGAATAATGGAGACGAAAGTAACTTTTCAACCCATGTTCAAAACAAATGTTAGTATGATCACATACCATTTTGCTGTTTTTTTTTTTTGTTTTTGTTTTTGGGAGTGTGTGGATTCTAAGGGGTGAGGAGGAGGATTTGTTAGCTCAAAATCATGTGATTCAGCCAAAAGCCGACAAGTGAACTCATACGATAAGAGATCATGTATTAGGTGGTACTAACAACACCGTTGGCAAAAAAGAAAAAGAAAAAGAAACAACACCAACTGCGAGACTTCACCCAAGGGTTTTCCATCAGTCAAATCCCTCAACAAGCACGTCCACTGTGACTTGGGTATATAAAACCTAATTATATATTTTACATGGTTGTGGTTATTCAAGTGCTTTCTTAATGCAATAGTTCAAGACAACTGATAGTCAGCCAAGGTAATTAGTTAACATTGTCATCCAGATGCCTCAAAATAAGATCCACTCACCACATTTAATCTAATCAGAAATGTAAAATATTTTCAAATTTAGAAAATGTTTCAATATTGAAAATAAGTTTCACATTTGGATATCCAAAAATTGACCAGGTAGCTGCACATTTCCAAACCACCAAGTCAAGTTTGATGTCTTAACAACCTTAAGATTAAAAGTAAGCTTTTTTTTTCCCCCCAATTCCTTTCAGCATCGTAATGGATAAAACAACCAGAGCTCTAGAATCCCAGCCAACGAAAAAGAAGTCTCTCCATCAGCATAAAGAAAAACATAAGAAAGTTAGGGGAAGTCAAAAGTAAGCATACCTCATCACGGATATGTGTTCGAGCCCGAAAAGTCAATCTCTCATGCACATCTGCTAAAATTCTCTCAAAAGTTGGATGAAGACCAGCTAGAGATTCGCTCCTTCTACTAAGCTGTTCTCCCAGGACTTCAACTTTAAGTATATCAACAAGTTCACAAAGAAAATCAATGTTTGTTTCATGGATAAGCTTGGGGCGTAACGTATCATACAGGTATGTCGACCTGCAAGCAAACTTTATCTAATCAAAATTTATATATAGAAGTTTTGGAGTTTACAAATTTTACTCCTGATGACAAAATTTCAAAATAAACCATAATAGATATGTTAAGAAAGGCTTAGAAGCTAACAAATATCAACAACCCGAGCAAGGTGCCATATCTGGACAAATGCTGAGCATCATACTCATGATGTTCTATTGCTTTTCATGTCACATACTATTAGACTCACCTTGGAAATTGCTAAACATTTGCTAGACACAATCATTTTCAGCACTTCAGACATGCATAATAACAATTATTTGTTAATGCAGCAGCCATAGGAAATATTTCCAACATATAAGGCTACCCTTCTATTCCAAAATGTTTTTCAATATTATTAAAACCTAATTCATCAATTTCATATCCTTCTATTTCATTTTTTTAACATATATATTGTAATAAGAGATAAATATGACAAACACACAAGTGGCGAAGGACATCGAGCAGAAACATATCAAACTCGTCAATATAAAAGAGCTTTGAATCCTTTGCAAAACCATTACACATGCAAGTAAATATTTTGTGCACTCGCCAGTGCCAAAATATATTTGGCATGGTAGCACCTTAAACAGTATGAATAGTTAATTGATATTTCAAAGTTCGTGCATATGGAGTAATGCATTCAGAAAATGTTTGTACCAGAAACTCTGTGAAAACAGTAAACAAAGGAAATTAAATTAAACTTGTATGTTAGGAATACAAACTTACAAGGGATCCATTAATGGAGCCAAACTTGAAATATCCTTGGAAGAAGATGGGAAAAAATGATCAAACAATTGGTGTTCAAGTTGACACACCTGCAGTTAATATTACAGTCAATTAAAGTTTACCTAGACCTGATTCAAGCTATACGCTTTAAAAATTCACATTTATCACAAATAAATAAAACCAAAAAATTACACAAAATATAGCATGTATTCCCATTCATTTCTTCTGCTTAATGTGCATAATCTTTGTATAAACGTGCAACAGGTTTATTCTGGAAACATATCATCGAATCCTCTTGACTTTGAGACTTTGGCAAGTAATCTTCTCAACTTTGAATGTAGCAACTACCACCGTTAACCTCGAAAATGATCTTAATAACTATTTTGCGTTCATGAGAAATCACTAATTTATGGATGCTTTGATTTCAAATTACAATACCAAGTTTGTCACTAAGCAATCTTAGATCACTAAATAAATACCTTATTAAACATTAAAGAAATTTTAATCAAACAAGGGACCAATGATATGCAAAGTGCAAACAACAAAAGCAAGTTGCTATATAAGAAAAGAAACGTTACCTGTATGAGATACGCACATCCAGATCTAGTCAATGATGGCAAGGCCTCCTTCTTGGAAAATTCAGATATACGTCGCTGCACTATACCTCTTATCTAAATGATACATGATAAAGGAGCTTGCTATCACTGATTCAGTATAAAGGAAGGAGTGCAGAAAATATGTAACAAGCAAACATGTATGTTTATTCTGGCAAAAAAATAAATAAATAAATAAATAAACAAGTATCACTCACCAAAGAGAGACGTTGCTCACAATATAATCTATGGCATTCAGCAAGGATTTGACCATATTCTTTTCTTGACGACCTGCTTTCAATTTCTTCTAGCACAGGCTTCAGCTGCAAAATGTACAATTCTTCATCAACCAGAGGTGAAGAAATATGCTGTAAAAATGATCTCCAGAATACACACATTAAAATTGTCCAATGCCCACTAATCAAACACATTTATTAGAAATTTAGAAAGAAAAGGTTACCTCACTTGCTGCTGCCTTAAAACGAACATATATCACGGATGCCTCTACTCCCTCAGAGACATTTGCTTTGTTGCCCCCACTTTCACGAATAGCTCCTTGGACCTGATGTAGAGGTGCATACATATGTACTTAATCATTAAGTTCCCAATTTTTATAGGCTTGAAGCATGCATGTATGCATATATCCACTTAACTTGTTAAATAAACTTCACCTGAGAGGAGGCGCCTTTTAGAACAGCAAGTACATGAGAACGCATCAAACCTAAAGCTCGAGACTGTATAATCAAAATAAAGACAAAAGCCAAACTATTCAAAGTTAAACACATATCTTACATGACAAATAACTTCAAACCAACAATAAAGGACCAATACTATACTTCTATTGGCTAAAAAGTACCTAAAAAGCAAAAAAGTATTACGTACACTCATATACCTGAAGTTGCCGGAATTTAAGCAAGTAGACATTGGATTCTGCATACTGTGGATTGCTTTCAACATACCTATACAAAGAGGAAAAAAAAATCACAATTGTTCATGTGACATATACTAATGCTGACTACAAAAACTCATAAACCTGCAGATAACTGACATAGTATAGATGCACAATTGGTACAGAGTACAAGAATGAAATGTAATATTACTCACGTTATGCATTCATCAAGCCTTTTAAGAAGTGGAAGAAAGTTTTCATTTCCAACATTCATATTTGGCGAATAAAAATTGGTAGCAACCTGTAAGATAAAAAATAAAACATGAACAACAGATATATTATCGCAACAATTTTTATTTGCCCTACACCCTCAACTTCTGAATAAAAAAAAAAAATCAGACTTAGGGGCTTCATTAATCTCGAATGATAACATATATAATTATATCTTATGTTGAAGTAACAAATATTCTACCCGCTACACCAGCAAATAGACTCTAGGCAAACATTGGCACATTAAGGTTTTTTTTAGGGGGTTAAAAAAGAGGCAAAAGTCACATCAGTTACATGTTCCACAAGAAATGGCTAGTGTTCTCACTCATTACAGCCACTGTTTTGATTCCCTAACCACTAAGAATATAGCTTCTGTGTGTCCTGTCAGCATTTCATGTTCTTTAAGTAGTCAATAGCTTATTCCATCTATTAGATTGTAAGAAAATGAAGAAACGGAAGGTAAACCAAAGCAAAAGCTCCAGTCAAGCCAGCAGTCAAACCTTACATTCTCCAGTTCATCAAAGTAGTTGAGTTTATTACGAAGTGCTTCTGCAAAATCAATCAGCCTTTGCTTCTCTTGAAGCTGTAACAGGAAAATAGGAGCAACACAACAAAATCAGTTCTATCAACCTATAATGAAATTTAAGGTGCTTTCTATAAAATGCGTTGCATGTAACTGATTTACGATAACTGAAGATGTATACAACTTTGAGCCCAAGGGTAACACAGCAAAGAAACCTAAAACCTAAATTCCCATTTGCTTTTTCACCTTATTTGTCAGTTAAGGATCCACATAAACCCAAGTCTCATGCTCTGACCTTGAAATTAAAGGGATAACAGATGATATACAGCCCCCTGGATTATCAATGGCCATAATTCCCAATATGTCCTTTATAATCATTATGGCCAACCTTCTATCCTAAAAAACAAATTAAGGTGATAAGCAATAAAACCGCACCAGTCTGTCACACGCATCATGTAGTGTTTTAGTCTTTGTAGCAACTGCCTGATGCTGCAGTTGGAGTTCATTGAACAAATCAAGGGTGTCATCGACCTGCACAAGAGCAGAAAGTCCAAAAAAAAAAATTACATGAGTAAAAATAATAATAATAATAACCATAAGAGATTGCTGCACCATACCTATAAATGAATAACTCACCTGCCGGAGAATATCATCACACGTTTGTATGCGCTCTGTTAAAGTGTTCACATAGTGTTGATATTTCTCTTCTGTCTACATTAGGAGAATGAATTGAGTATAATATACAAATTCACAAAATCTAAATCTTTGGCGTAAGGAGTTAATAATCATGATTGCTAACCTCTGACTTCATGGCTGATTCAAGGTCTGTAAACCATTTGTAAAACTGCATGAAAGCGAAGAGCACATATGTAAACTCGTGTCTTTAAGAAGTAGCTTCAGAAGGTCTAGTAATTATCAGTGTGGTCGCAAGAGTCATTATAGAATGTCCAATAATCATCATTTTAAAAAAAAGGGGGGGTAGACACAAGGATCAAATCAATTAATAATTTACCTGATTCGTATTGACCATAACCTCCTCAATAGCTCCAGAGTTATCCAGAGATTTATCCTTGGTGGAAACAGTCAGGCCAATCTCTTGCACTGATGCACTATCTACAACCTACAAATAAAACTCAGATTATGTCAACATGAATTCTAGTGATGTAACCAGTAGAATTACAAGTAATTAAAACAAACAGGCGTTCGGGTAGTAGCACGAAGCCGTACCAGCTTGGCTGGCATTGCTCGCTCAGCAACCGCATGAGAAAGCGATACAATGGCCGTCTGTTGCTGCTCTGTCAAAGGAGCATTCTGCAAGCACGAATCAAATAACATTGAGCATACGAATTACAGGAGATTTCTTAGATCTGATCGAATAAAATGGAAAGCAAATGAATTATAGTAACATTACATGCAATTGAACTTAGCAAGTACTGAGATCTACAAAATTCAGCCATTGTAGACCGAAGAACGGAAGAAAAAAGAGCTCAAAATCAATTAATTCGATTCAAATCTTGAAATAAACAAGGATTGGCAAGTATAAGGGGATCTGCAAGTGAACCAAACATTGGAAAGGATACAGGATGAAGGAGGAGGAAGAGAACCTGTTCCCAAGTGGATGCGAAGTTGTAGCCTCTAGAAATGGCGGCGTTCCTCGGAAGGCTTTGAGGTGGATTCCGGCTTCCCATTTCTCCCTGCGGTCGTCGTCGTCTTCTTCCTATGGACGTCACCCCCCTCCTCCCTTCTCGCTCCCCTTTCTAACATGACATGCCGCGGACGGTTGAAGAAAGAGCCATGCTTTTTCCAACAAAACGATGCGTTTCCTTCTCGATAGTGTCCCTGGTTTCTCTTTTTACCAAAGAGTCCCCGGATTCTTTAATATTCGCAATTGGGCAAAAATGGGTTCTTTTTCTTTTTTTTGTCAGAATTAATATTAATTGTTCGTATTAATATTAATACGTCACAATTCATAATAAAAATCACAATTTAAATTGATTGGTATTTACTGTTTCTTAATATATAGTTGACTATTTTGAATAAATTAAAAAAATAATTAAATTAGTTATTTATATTCTTATTAATCAAGTTTATCAGCTAAAACTATTATTATTACAACTACTTTGAAAAAAAAATCTAAAAAACAAAGTGAATCAAAATTTTATATTTAAAAATAAATTAAAATTTAAACTCACTCTTATATAAAAACAAAATATGTTATTATACATTAAAAATTAGTCATATTCAATATATGACATAAAATATGCAAGAGTTTTTTGACATAAAGCATGGGAATTATCAATTATGGTCCAACTTTTACAAATATAATTTTATAAAAAATTATTTCTCTCATACTAATTTTCTTGTCTTTTTATATGTCTTAACTTTAAAACACATAAACTTCCAAAAAAAAAATATTTTACCAAAACATTAGTTTATCATATTTATAATAATTAAATATTAATCTTTATTGTATATTGTATAGCTCATGTTGATACGGATAATTTTTCTTCTTTTTTTTTAATAACTATACCGTAAATTTTTGCTTTTGTTCCTATTTTTGGTAAAATGATCCTTCTACATTTGCGATTTCGCTACGGAGGATCTGAAGCGCCAATGGTTTTGGCAGAGTTCAAAAAATCACATTTAAAAATAATTTAGCATTTCATAATCTGCACAAAAGTTTCAATAAAAGGATTTCTAGTTTACATCGTAACGGTGCTCTCCCATCATTCATTAATAGAGCAGTGTAATTCTCCCAACTGCAAGAGAGAACTTGAGGGGGACAAAACCAACAGATGAAGACGAACTAGGACTCTATACAGAACAAAAAAAGCATAAATGCGTATTATTAATGTAAATCTACTTGCAGTTACAAGATGAGATGATGAACCCCCCCCCCCAAAAAAAAAAAAAACAGCCACAAAGCTCAGAGCTACTGAAATGGGTCAGTCTTTAACATCAGAAACGCCTTCTGGAGATATCTGAAACCTTGCTTCAGCCTCAGCCAAACAAGGAGAACTTATCACTTTACAGATGCGTTCTTCCGCTCTGCCCTTCCGAAGCTGCAGCCTGTGGCAAGTAATTAACATCCAGATTCCAGACAAAAGTGAGAACAAGGCTTAATCAGGAAAGCGACGTGAAAAGAGAACTTCATATTTTGAAGTGCGGACCTTGTGGTTGTTGCATGAGCCATAATGTTTCCACCAATAGGCTTGATTTGAGGTCCGGCAAAGACTGCAGAACCATCTACTTGTGAAACTACTTGGTTGGTTATCACAACAGCCACACCAAACTACACTTAGGACAGCAGAACAAATTATCAGCCTCAAGAAATTGTGTGCGACGTGGAATAACCAGAGTAATTGTGTTATTAAGAAGAATCACCGGTAATATCAATTATCCGCCATCCTAAGAAAGAACTTTGCACTATTTTAAACTATAAGATTAGCTGAAGTGGCAATAAGCCGTAGGCTGTTACCTCATCTGCTAGCTTCTGAAGGCTCCGAAGGAACTTCGCCAGATGCATTTGCCGGGCAGAAAGTTCCCCTCTTCCGCTAAAATCTGTCCTATAGAGAGCAGTAGCACTGTCAACTATTACCAGAGCAAACCTGTTAACGCATAAGATTAAAGCTTAGAAGTAATTTAGAATGCACCCGAAAGAAATAGCAGGAGAGTCTGATTCTGACACGCCAGGATGCAGATATGCTGGAAGTTTTAATTCTCGCGTAGTTTTTTCAAGTAAAATTAACTAGTTGGATGGATTCAAATCAGATTCTCTAAATTTCTAAAGGAGAAGAAAGCAATGAAATACTATAAGGAAAGCAGCAACATGTTACATTAAAGCATGCAATTAGATACCAACAGTTGTCACCAACGATATTTATTCTGTATTTAACTTCTGTATCTTTGCTCAACGTATTGAAAAAGCTACTCTCATTTAAGCACTACAATACTTGAAACCAGACCCCCCAAAAACTGCAGGTCACACCTTGTTTCCACCATCATTGAAGCAGCTTCAAGCAGAAGTCGTGATTGATGATCAGTGTTATATGCTCTAGCATAGGCAACATTTTCCAATACATCAGCTCCATTTAGTCCAAACCTGCATCAATCAGCATCAATGTGACATCAGTATTGGGTGCATCCCACATGAAGTAGGCATTACGTGTCAAAAAAAATGCTATACCTGTCTGCTATTTGTAAGAGTCGCTGTGGTCTAAATGTACCCTCTGCATCAATGTACATTGCTTTGCCCTCAGCACCTCCTTGATCAAGTGGCAACTGAAATGTCAAGAAAACAAATGATATTTAAGGTAATGCAATGACTGAATTACATTGCTAATTTTCATTTTCTAGTTTGCAACATGATATTTCATTTCCCCCTTGTTTAAGTCAAAATATAAAAACAAAGTATGACGCAATGTCTATATGTGTCCTCCTAAATTATGTTAAGACTACTTATTCACGACGCACTTGCATGACAGCTAATACCAAAATGAAAAAAGCACTTACTTGGCAAGTGACACACAGAGTATGACACAACTGAGTCTTCCCTGATCGAAATTCACCATATAGCTCAGTTATAGATCCTGTCTCTATCCCTCCTGGAAGAAACAGCGGCGTAAGGTCATGATCCATTAACAATGAAAAACGTGAATTTATCAACAAACTAGTGAAGCTGACATCGAATAAATTCAATTTTTAACATGTCTTACTCCTACCTTCCAGTATCTTGTCTAGCTCTTCTGATCCTGATGTTATTTGAATAATTGCAAGCCTCTGGGAATGAAGTTGGGCAGCACTAGTGAAACCCAACGGCACCAATTTAGAAGCTGTCAACAAAAATGAGAGAACAAACATATAAGGGCCAATATTGGAAGGAGTTATCGAAGGAATCAAATCGGGGATGCATGCCTGCTTCAATGATCTTATCAACTTTAGCGTCACTGATTCCTTTAATCTGCAGAAGGTCCTTTCTAGGAGAGAAAGCCACAGATTCAACCGTACAAAGACCGGCATCTTTAAGTTTCTTGACGTCGGTAGCAGATATGCCCGATGCCTAAGATTACGATTAAAAGGAAAACTGTCAAATCGGAGCGGAACAAATTTGCATCACGAGGATTTTTTTTTTTCTTTTTAATAAGGGGAGAACGGCTATTTAACCATGATCAAGGCAACACGGTTATTCCGCAATAGAAGATGGTATGAGAGAAGAAAGCTCATGACAGTAATAGAACAAATCGGACCTTAGAAACCAAAAAAGAAAATTTTTTCGAGAGACCTCATAGAGATGGCAAGACGAACAGAAAAGATAACCAAGAACCCTAATGTTGCTAACAAGAACACCTTATATACCGAAGACTCTCATGTGGGTATTATTATTAGTTGGGAATTGAGGTATCAATTTAGGCAAAAGGCATTCTTGATTCTTAATTTATTTTCTTTTTTTAAAAAAAGAGCTAAGATTCATTACGTTTTGAATATGTCGATCACCTGAAGCTCTTCAACGGATAAAGGGCCATGTTGTAACTCTTCAGCTGCTTCCTCCCGTTGGGCCTCCTTTTGGTGCCTTTGCTGCTCCATTTCTGACCAAGACTCAAACTCTTCCCGAGCTCTTTAGAGAGAGAAGCAAAGAGAAGAGAATGAGACTGAGAGGAAGACGCAGCTCACGAATTGTGCAAAGTGGAAGAAAGACCGAATGCACATCGATGGAGGAAAGAAGAGGGGAAATGCCGTCTTTTCAAAAGCGCACAACCGGCGCCAAAATATTTGGCTTCCAGTTCAAACAAAGCTTACCGAAGAAGCTTTTTTTTTTTTTTTTGGAGTGCGTTGGTTGATCAGTTGGGTCCACGATCATTAGCAATAGGGAAGGCCTTACAAGTTACCCACAGCGCCCGCTTATTGAAGAAGATTGAACTTCGTGCAAGGCCGCAAGCGAGCGTTTCATACCCGCTTTAGCCCACACTACAATCTCAGATAAGTTGGCCCAAGCTGGTGCGTTTTATTTTCATATATACTTATTTGGAGGGCGAGGTTTTTCATTATTCAGCTTTCTTTTTTTTTTTAACCAGAATCAGTTGACAGCTTTGATTGAAAAAAAAAAAAGAAGAAGAAGAAGAATCAGAAGAATCCTTTTGCAGCTTCACTATGATCCTTTTGACCCTTCCACCGAATAATATGTTTACGAGTGTCCCATTAGAAGAGAACAGGATGAAGGGCTAAAAACAAACCCGAGAGTTGTATGCTGGCACAACTAGTGTAAATTTTGGCGTACGTCACCACGTCCATTTGTCCGCATTATTGGGCCAAGCGAACGACAACCGTTTTAAAAAGAGAAACTATAAAGAAACAAAATTTCGCACTTACAAAGTCAATGAAATTGAAGTGCAATGATAACGTTTGTTAATTGGATTCATCTTCAACGAGAGACAGGCGACAACTGATACTTTGGCAGAGATCGTACTCCATGGATCAAACTAATCAACGAGAAACATAAGAACTGTTCGTATTATTCGAAGTTACCTTGAATCGTTTTGGTGAACGTAACGCAAAATTTTTCGACTCAACCATCACATGCAGGAACATACTTCAACATAACAACTTGCACATTTATCAAAATGGCGATCGAAACAGCAAATAATGGCTAGTAGTGCCGATGGATGGATTGAGCACGCACGTACATAAAAACCAGACTAGACCCCACCACCGTAGTACAGTGTACTGCACCATCGGTTTATGCTACTCAGTTATACAAACCTCGTTGAACTGGTACGTTGATAGCAGAGATCCAATTACCAGCCAAGAAAGAGTCCACGGTGAAGTTGCTAGCCTCTTCCCTTGTGATCTTCTTGTAGCCGGGCCACTTCACTCTATTATCAGTATTCGAACCTGCTCCAGTATTGTTGTACTCAGCATAGAACAAAGTTTTGAGTGCAAAATCTCCTTCCCATTCCATCCACCCTTCAGGGGCGATGACGTCGTCGATCTCAGATTCCATGACAATGGTTCTCGAGTACTCCTTCCATGGCCGGCCAAGGTAGCTCTTGAACTTGTCTTTCACGGAGGCAAGTGAATCGTCGGCCTTGATCTGGCAGCTTTGCAAAACAATGGCAGTGGTTTCTCGTGGGTCCATTCTGCCTTGAGCTGTCACTATGTTTTGCTGGTTGTCTAAGGGTTTCCTTATGTTCATTATGCAGTTTTGGAAGATGGCGGCTGCATCGCCGAAGATGAAGTCCACGGTGCCGGAGATCACACAGCTCCGGTAGAATTGCCTGTGGGCTAGGGCGTAGAGGGTGTCTTGGTACCCTTCGAAACGACAGTTCACAAATACCGCACGATCTCCTTGCACTCTTGCTGCTACGGCCTGGTGCTTCTCTGGACCTGCTGTATTTCTGAATCCCATTGCTTTTCCTAAAAATCCATCTGCTTCTACCGCTGCAGTATCATCACCAAATGCAAATTTAGCCTATATACATTAACCGATGTAATGGATTGCAATACCTATTTCCCAGCAACTAAGTATAAAATCATGAGGTTCTGAGATACAAGGTTTTCGAAATCTTACCAAATGATGCAGTTTGGAAGGTCCTTACTCCATCTACGAAGTTCTTGTTGCCGGTGATAATGCTTTTTTGCGATCCATCACCGTAAAGGGTTAGGTTTACCATTCGCCCTTCTATCAGTACAGTCTCATCATATGTTCCTGCTTTAACATAAACCACATACCTACATTTTCGCAGTGCAAATAAGAAGCCTTACGTGAGCAACCAATAACCATAGCACAAATTGTGCAGTAAATTTCCAGCAGATTGCGTTCTCTCTCTCACACACTCTCATGGATTCAATATATGTATGTATAGTTCAATATAGTTAACGCGGATTCATTCATTAGCATGACGAAGCTATAAGTGCATGCATGTGTGTGTGTATATATACCGTCCATCGTATTTTTGTGGTATAGCTTTTAGAGCTTCAGAGATGGTTTTGAAGTCTCCACTGCCATCGCTGGCCACGGTGACGTTAGGTGTAGGTTTATCATCTGCTGCCTTCAACATCCTTCGATCTTCATCGTTCATCCACTCTGGAAGACCTTTATGATCATCGGACGACAACAAGTGACGGCTAGCACCTTCCTTTAGTGCCGAAGAAACCACGGAGCCTAACTGCGATAGAATGGCAAGAGTATTGCTAACATACTCCGTTGAATCCTGAAATGCACTCTGCATTTCTGTCTTCAGTTTCCCTTCAAAAAACCCATCGAGGCAGGCTCCCTGGAACGAGATAACCGCACTTAGCCAACTGTTCAAATCCGAAGAGGAGGACGTCAGCTTGTTCACGTCAACTGATCCAACATGTGAAGATGAATTCGCTAGATCGTCTTTCGCGCGATCCAAAAGTTTCTTGCAATCCTCGTAAGCCCCTTTCTCTTTGTCGGTTTGAAAGTTGAGGTCTTTGGTTTTATTTATGGCCTTATTGACCTCGTCCTGAGCGACACTAATGGCAAGCTTAAGGACGTCTTTTGGTTGTGCTAGTTTCGGATCCTTTTTAACTTCCTTGGTGAGACTTGTCTCACATTTGTCCTGATAGTCGGTGGAACTGCAAATGGCCTTCACGAGTTTCTCTGCCACAGAAATCTCGCCGGAGCTACTGTGTGAACTCGTTGGGGAAGAAGATGATGGGGATTTCTTGTTATGGTCATTGACTTCGCTCTCTTCTTCAGTGTTATTGCTGACGATTACGAAAGCGGCTGCTCCTATAAGACCAATGACGACGATGGTGCAAACTGCGCCTATGGCGATTCTGCGCTTGAGCTTCTGTTTCCTGTCATTTTTTCTTTTCTCGGTGATGAGATCGAAGTCTTGAAACGCCATGGTATGGAAACTAAAATAATAAAAGAGGAAGAGGAAGAAGAAGAGAGGAGGAGGAAGAAAAAGAAAAAGAAAAAAGAAAAAAAGAGAACGATCTATCTAAGGCAGAGAAGAGTCTCTCTGCCTTAGGAAGAAGCCAGGCACAGGGTGGGAAAAGAGAGGGCGGGGAAAGGTAAGAGAGGTGGCGTTTAATTTTAGTAACGTTAATTAATTCCTTTCCCTCTTCGTTCTTGGTGTTTGATCCTTTGGAATTTTAACGTTGGTAGTTTGTTGGTGGGAGATTAAGGTGGTCCGGACGAGAGGCATTTGAGGCATTTCTATTTGTGGTACTACGTGAGTTAAGGTCTTCCAACAATGTTCGAGTTTCTCGCTAAGTTCTCTTCTCTGCCTCTTCTCTTCCTAATCGATCAAACCAACTTTGAAATCCTTTTCGTCCCTTTTTCTTAGGACTGGGAGTACCAGAAAATAGAAAGAAGCATGCAAGTTAACCCCCAACGTTGCGTACGTTTCTCCTTAAAATGATCCATCAGCAAGGACCTTCTTTCTCTTAATTACATTCCTATGCCCAGTCGTCGTTAGGCAAATGTGTTTCGGCTATCAACCAATTATCTTTCTTAGATCTGTGTTTGAAACAGGACTATTTGTTTCGTTCATTATTGTACTATGTGGACAAACATTATCTAAGTATATGTGTGGGAAAATTAGAGAGAAAGAACTGGATGGAGAAAATTATAAAAACTGTAATTATTTAAAATCATCATATCATAAATCACGCCACATGAATGTTCATGGATCTGGCTCAGCTTTCCCTATAAATATGTACCAAATTTCTCGCTCTGGATTGTTCGAAGATCCATTCTCATGACATATAACGTCAGTATAACGTGACATAAGTTTATTCTTGCCTTTTGTATTTAAATATATATAAATATAAATATACAAAATGTATGAGGTATATAGATGAGTCATTTCAAATAGACAGTCATATATATATATATATATATATGTAAAGAGGTGCATGCACTGCATAAAAGATGCTACTTAATTGCTGCACTGCTCAAATTATATTATCAATATCGTGCTAATTATATTATATCGTTATTATATCTGGAATGTGTTAGAGTCGTCTCTTGAATTTAATTTAATTTGAACAAGTTAAAAACAAAGGACAATTTTTTGTATACTTGGTCATCCATGTGAATTGTGAATGTGGCCATGTTTCAAACTAATTAATTAAAGGAATTTTAATCTTGCAATGTTCCTATAAATTATCAAATTTTCCTCTTTTATTCTGCAATATATAGTGCCACTCAAAAGCAGCCTCTCCAGGCCACGACGAGAACATTAATATATCACCAAATTACCAGCCAATCTAACTGGTATATAGGGTCAAATCCCAGCATCATAAGGGACCGAAGTTGACTGAAGCCAAGCGTCACCCATAATGAACTGAGAAACCGTAAAGTTATAAGCCTCCTCATAGCCCATCACATGGTACCCAACCCAATTCACCCTGCCACCCGTACCCGAACCCGGCCCATAATTATTATACTCTCCATAGTACAGAGTCTCCAAATCATCGCCATCGGCATCAGACCAGTCCGTCCACCCCTCTGGGTCCACGAAATCATCGATATAAGACTCAAGGTACACTGTCCGAGAATAAGGCCTCCACGGGCGTCCGAGGTAGCTCTTGGAGCTGCTAGAGTTAGTATAGAGGTCTTCGGTGGCAATGACGGAGCAATTCTGGATTGAGATTCCGGTGTCCTCGTCCGGTGAGTCTCGTGATTGAGCTGTGATGACGGTG